GGCCACTGGCTGGGGCCGCTGCGTTGGAGGAGAGCGACAGTGGTGAGTCTGAGCGATCCCAGGACGGCGTCTGGTTGCCAACTCCCGCTGCGAGTGGTGTTGATTCGGCGGAAGACGAGTCGTCAGGGGCTCTGAGTGTTTCAGACGTTCCTGAGTCTACCAGCAGCACAAGCGAAAGCAGTGGACCCCGGCGTGTGTTGGCTGCATCTCCAAACAAGGTTGAGTTTCTGTCGTGGGAAGCTTTTGACCAGTACTTGGCGGCTTATTCAGCCCAAACGTTTCAGGTAACGAAGTGAACGTTGACATCACTATAGCTTTCTGTTTCGTGCTTACCGATTCTGTTCACGTATCCTGGATAGGTCTTACGGAGCCGCAGTAACACCACAGTCTCCGAGCGCAACGAACGGATTCGAAAACAGCAATCAAAGGCAACACCAATCCCAGATTCTTGGGTGCAGTATTCCAGGACATTCATCTGCACTCACGCTGGGTCCTATAAGTCTCAAGCCTCGAAGAGACCACGCCAAGAGACTCGATCTAAGGGTTGCAATGCGAAGGCAAGTATTGACCAGTCGGGTCTAATCGGGTACAGTCGGGTTTAATCTGATGCTAATCGGGGAATCATGTTATGTAGATAAATGCTTGTGTGCAGTTAGTTGACTCGGCTAACCAGACCTTTGCAGTGAGAATTACACGCTGTCAGCTGGAGCACAACCATCGGTTGCATGAGAACTCTTTTCGAGCTCACTCTTCTAATCGGGTCGTGCTAAATGATGGCGCACTGCAGACGGTTGACGTGCTTCGTCGATATGGGGTCAAGAAGACCGGTATTGTGAGGTTCATTACGGACAAATCCATCAGCAATCCGAACGCGCAGGACGTGCAAAACTTGGTCCGCAACTGAAAGCGCGGGAGCCAAAAGATGGCCCCACCTCAAGCGAGAAGCGGCTGAAAAAGTGGATGAAGGAGTTCAGCGAGAAACCTGGCAACGTTGGTCGCATATTTCTTGATGATATCAACGAGAAGGTAGGTGAATTTAGGTTTTGTACATTTTCTTATGCTAAACTCTTGTTATTCTGCAGAAAGTAGCTACGTGTATCACGCTCCAGACCAAACGTATGAGACTGCTGTACGAGCAGTTCCCAGAAGTTCTATTGATTGATGCCACGCACGGAACCAATCGTTCGAAGTACAAGGTATTTTCTTTCATGGCTCATGATACCTTTGGCAAGGGCCAGTTTATCCAACATGCGCTTCTTCAAAACGAGCAGTACGCTACATTGCTCACAGCCCTGGAAGAGTTCAAGGCAAACAATCCGGCATGGCCTAAGCTACAATGTGTACTGGTGGACAAAGATTTTACGGAGCTATCTGTCTTGAAAGAAGCTTTTCCGGGTGTGACTGTGCTGCTATGCCAATTTCATGTGCTGAAGTACTTGCGCGAAGAAATTGCATCTGCGGAATATGGATTCTACAAGACTCATATGCTGAATATTGTGTCACCAAGCGCGACTGGTCCTGCTCGTGTTTGTTCATGAGCACGCGTTTGTTGCCATGCCGACACGTTTTCTTCCTCCGCAAAGTTCTAGGTCAAGAAACAGTTATCCCGACGCTACTCTTAAACAAAAGGTGGTTGGTTTCGAACGTTCGTTCGGCACTGGAAAATAGCACCCCAAGTATTGAGAATGAGCCCAGATCATTTGAGGTGAAGAATGTGCTCCCTGGGCGGGAGCGTCCTTGGGATTCGAACCGCAAGTTTCGCGAAGCATTGCCTATTGCCTCGGAGATCTGTGACACGATGGCTGGTTTAGGTATGGTCCAGTATCGACAGGCAATGCAATATCTCCAAGAAGTAGTTGGTCGGTTCAAGAATGGCAAATTTGAAGATCCAATCCAAGAAACAAACCAGCGGGAACTTTCACAAACGAGTGCGCAGCCTTCCGATATATCGGTACCCCCTACACAAGTACTTCTTACTAGTCACAGATCAGAGACTACCGTTGAGAGGCAACCTCCTCTGACTCGCCATGCCCACAGCACGAGTGGTGATGATGAATTACTTACCGGTCTAGCACCAGAACCTGAAGAAGCCAGCCAAGAAAAAGAGACAAGTCAAGTTTCATCCCAGTCGGTCCAATCGGTCATGCCACGCGAAAGTTTCGTGTTTGCCCGTACCAAACTAACCTCGGGGTTCAAGTTGACAGCTATAATTGTGGGGTTTACGTGCTTGTGGCGCTTGAAGAGTTTGCCGGTGCAAAAGGTCTCTGCATGCTATCAAGAAAGGAGCTTCAGTATCTACGTTACAGATACATTTGCATGTGCGCCTAGTTAACACTCTAAACAAGTTAGTCTTTGTGCTTTCCTTTACCATTTGTACGTGTCGTCACATATTACTTGTAGAAGACTCTGCAGAAGCCACACGCTCAAGCGCTCAGCGTCTAAGTCCTTCGTATCCGAATGAACGTATACAAGGCTTGCGTTTCACACGATTCACTAAACCGGCTCTTACCTCAAGTCGGGCACCGTCGGGCACCGATCGGATGTAGTCGGGTACCGTCAGCCTGTCTCTTTCACCTTAATCGGGCGAAACAACGAGTGCCAAAAAAAAAGGAAACCCTGAAAAGCACAATTCAGATCTAAAGCTTGATTATGTGGCCCACGTATAAGTAGCATAACGTGACGAGTGTGGCGATGCAGGTGGATCGCTCGCTGATCGACAAGGATTTCGACCGCTACGTGCTGGCTACCGATGGTATTTCCAAACGTGCTACTGCACTGTCAGTACCAGCATTGACGCCGCTAGATGCCGGTCAGAGCATGCGCAAGGCGCAGTGGGAATCGCGAGCTCACTACAACGCGCTGATAGCCGATCCGTTCTTATGCAATAGTTTCGAAGCCACTGTAGCGTATTTCGTGGACGCAGAATATCGTCTTATGCAGATCGTTGACCGCAAGACGGACGGAGTGACGCTCGAGAAGGTCTATAACTTCCCCCGGTTGACGTCGAGACAGGAGAACGTCTCGGTTTATGTGGCAGGCAAAGGGTTGGTCGTGTATTGTGACGGACACGGAACGCTGCACTTCCTAAAGGCGGAAAATGACCAAGAAGGAGCTAAGTGGAGTGCCATCTACGAGTGCGCGCCGTGGGGCGTTGTACCACTACTTCTACTTGGAGCTTCTTACGATGAACAGAGTAAACAAATCCATGTTGTGATAGCTGAGCCACTTTCGGGGAATGAAGCTGACGGGGCCTTCCGACTCTCAACGATTAAAGTGCTTGGGACTGCAACTTCAGTGCATGATATGGACATCGATAGTGAATCTATTGGTTTAGAGCACACAACAGCAGGAATCGCCGTGGTGTCGGAGTTGCCGACATACGTCTCGTTCAATGGACTTGAGGTGGTGTTACTAGTGCAAGGAACGCACCAATTGCTCATGGAGCGCGTGGCAGAAAAGAAGGCGGGAACATCAGCGCAAAACGTTCCCTCTGTGACGGGTAAATCGTCACCGCATAAACGTCTTCACGACGAGGACGCGTTGGACGACGACGAGATGGCCATGCTGCTTTCCAAGCTCCCCCGAGCAGGCATTGGCTTCCACGGAGATATCTCCAAGCCTAAAGAGCCTAGCGAACTGGCATCGATCGACTTCACTACGCCGCTAAGTGAGCGGTTCCACAAGTCCAGCACTCCTTTCAGCTCGGTCGATGTACCTCTCCACGGTGCACCCGATATATCGACACTCTACCGCAGAGAAAGCATTGGCAGCCAACATGACCGACCACTCGAGGTGCCGACTGCAGAATCCATTCTCAGTGGCTTTGAGGAGTGCGACAGTGGAGATCCGAACGCCAAGGCGTCATTATTGCTCGTTAACTTGGAGCAGAAAATGGTGCAGCAGCAGCTAGATATCGACTGCATGAATTTCCAATTTCTGTGCCCGAGTGCTCGTGTAAAAGGATCTGGAGACTTCAAGCCGACGCTTCTGTTCCGGAACGATGTACACGGCCTGGTTTTCGAGCTGAATGTAGCGCTGGATCGCCTTTTGCTGCGGCACTCGACCACTCTGCCAGCATTCGGCTTCGTGCAGGCGTCGAAGCAGGAGAAGAAGTTTATGTCATTCCATCTAACGGGGTCAATAGCTTGTATCGGCGAGTTTGAGCGCCGCGTGTTCGTGTATCAGGGCAGTAGTTCGGAAGAGGAGCGCAAGTCGCACACTCGCCTGCAGTACGTGGTGGAACTTGGTGACCAGCAGCTTCTGGGGATGCAGATCGTCAACGACGACACTATCCTGGTGCTGACTTCGAACCACGTGTACTCGCTTACACTGCCCATGCAGCGCTCATAAATGTAGCAACTTTAAGATTCTAGCAGATCACAATGCAAGTGACAACTTCAACTGGAATGAATGTAGTCATTGAAACGAGGTATTCTACTGACGATCTCTGCCCAATATCGTCCACAAAAAGACACAGCTCCAGTCTGCAGCGATGGTGCTCCTCTCGATGCGTCGTATGCAGCCGACAGCGATGGCCATGGCGCGCTCCTCTGCCCGCAGGTGCGTGTGCCATCTCCACCTTTTTAAATTAGCTGCATACTCGTTCTCATACTAACCGCACACTGCTTTGTGGCCCACTGCGCTTGTTTTCCAACTAGCGGCCCTCGTGTCGCCCAGGTCGGACGCACGCTGCGCTTCGAGCACGCGGCCCAATTGAGTGCTGTGCAACTCATCCCCACCCACAGTTTCGGTGGGCGGTCATTCTCCTCCACGCCTGTGACGGGGTACGGCGCTCTTGCAAGAGATTCGATTGACAATTGAAACTATGCTGTACGAGTGATAACGGCAATGACTACTAATATGCTGTAGACTGTCGAACGATGACCGGATCGTTGCGGCCTCACCCTCGGAGGCGGCGGACCAGGTATTTGAGGCGGCAGAGGAGGCATTTGAAGCTGCGGGTACGTTCCACGCCGTATTGAAATTTGTAGCGCAGTATACCTGACAATATGGCGTCACTGTCGTTGTTATTATGCAGGCTCGGTCGACTTCGCTTCCGTGTCTGACCTTGGTGAGTAGACATTATAATGCTGGTGTTCGTTGTAATTAAGTATTGATTGTTATCTGTATTGGGGTGCAGGCTACTCGCTATCGGACATGGCCATCCGCTCGCTCGACGTGATTCACTCGACGACGGGACTTCCGTGGTGGGCGACTATTATTGCCACGACGGTTGCCGTGCGTACGGTTTTCTTCCCGATGACTGTCATTTCGGTGAGTAGTGAAAGTCGATCATGTGTGTGCTCCTCTTTCTTATCGGTATTTGACTTTTATAATATAGATGCGGAATGCAGCCAAGATGAAACAGTTCCAGCCCGAGATGCTGAAGCTGAAAGACCAAATGGATTCGAACCCGACCCGGGACGCAGAGTCTGCGCAGGAATTCCAGAAGAAATACAAGGCACTGATGAAGAAGCACGACGTGAACCCGTTGAAAAGCATGCTCACTCCGTTGTCGCAGGTATGAAACGAAAACTCCATTGAGATCGGTCCAAGATACTAGTGCTAACCACTTCCGCTGTTTTGTGATTGTTAGATCCCTGTCTTCCTTGGATTCTTCTGGGGTCTGCAGGACATTTCAAAGTACTTCCCCGAGTATGCCCATGAGGGTATTGGCTGGGTCCCCGACCTCTCCGCTGCCGACCCCACGATGGCACTACCCGTTATTTCGTCGGCTCTTATGGTGGCGTCCGTCGAGCTCGGTGGAGATGCGATGGCTGATGACATGAAGGACAAGATGAAGTTCGGTATGCGCTGCTTTGCGCTTCTGATGGTCCCGCTCACCATGAAGTTCCAATCGGGCATTTTTGTGTACTGGGTGACTTCGAACATGTTCACGCTGACGCAGACTGCGCTGATGCGGCTCAACGTTGTCAAGCGAGCGCTAAACATCCCCGTAACAGATGTGCAGCTTTTGGAGGCAGCTAGCATTACGAGCACGTCGCCCTTCGAGGCGGCTGTGTCCCGTGCAAAGGAGGGCACGGTTGTCAAGACGCACATGTACAAGCCGACCAAGCCGACCAAGCCGCTCAGCAAGAAGTAACTAGACCCACTCCGATTTTTCTACTGTAGACGACTGGCCGAGACAGTGTAGATTGCCTTCACGAAAGAGCTACTAGGCGATGCCTCTGCTGCCTCAATAGAGAGGAGTGTAAATCTAAGTTGTCCAGAACGAAAACGCATGGTGAAATACACACCGACAGGTCCCGATTGAAGCTGTGGCAACTTATTGTGCCTCCTCGCATGCCACACTGTCCCCCGTGTGGTCCGTAAGGGCAACAGTGTATCTGTCGGGCAAGCTCTAAGAAGAGAACGCATTTTGTCAGTGTTATTCTTCGGATCTTTGTTATCGCTCATACCTGGATCTCGGGGCAAAGGGTCGAAGGTAAGAAGCGCGCGTGTTCCTCGCAGAACGTGCGGCGCAATGTTATCTCCTCTTGCTCCAACTGTGCAAGCTTAGCTTTTGTCTCTTCGATCTGTTGGCCACCACGAAGCACATTGATTAATCGATTCTCACGCTTTGTTACCGGGTTACTTACGAATTGACGAACTTTCGCGCCGTGCTGCCTACGCCGAAGCATTTCAGTGCCAACGGACTGATAGGATGCCAGAAATTGAAGATAGAAGTCTCGAAGGCTTCGAAGTTCATCAAACAAGAGCTGCACATCGGCGAATATCACCTCGTAGCTGTGAAATAAACAAAAGCAATCAGTAGGTCAAGTTGCAAGGCACTTCTTCCCGGTTTTTTTTTTTTTAGTGGAACGTACTGCGGGTATATATCGTTGATAGTGGTGAAATACTGCAGCAAGAAGCGATCGCACTGTTCCATGTCGACGAAAAAGCTGACCTATGATAAATTGGCGAGTTGAGATTAGCCATTGTACGTTAGTGTCTCTTCCAGTAAGTAAAGGCGATGCATACTGCTGCGTCGTAAAGCTCTTCAATTGATTTGGCTTCCTCGTCACTGCATGAGCGTTAACGCAAATGTAACGTGTGAAAAAATATCAAGCAGGAAGACGTACCCGATCGATGCGAGCTCTCGATGCTCGCCAACCAGTGCGCCAACGTTACTGTTATGGGTCTTATCAAACGTCACGAAGAATTTGTATATAGCCTCGATCCTCGTGATGGCGTGTTGGTGCGTTGCCAGCAGCTCTTCCACTCTAGACCCAAAACAGAGCAATCGTGAACTACAGCATCCCACATATCAACTATCCATCACTTACTCCTTCGTCTGCTCTAACGCATCCTGTTGAAGTGACTGGACCGTATCGGCATCGATAAAGTCGAACAGCGTCTTGCCTTGCTCACCGCCAACCATGCTCGGGTCAACAAAGGTGCTCTGCAGTTGCTCAAATACGCGGTTCATCTCGTGCAGGAGCTGTACAGAGCAACAACAATGAAGCCATTACTTTGCGGCTTTCAATTAATAAAGATCTTCACGCAGCCGAACCGGTGTCTGTGTGAATATTGAGTCCTTCGCGATCTCCTGAGCACTATGGAGCTTGACGCGCGATGCATCTAGCATCTTGCCCAGCACCTACATTCAGCAAGCGTCGTGGTTAAGCAGAATCAGCGCCAGTGCTTATTTTATATATAAAGAAGATGCTAGTGCAGACCTGGCATTTCTCGGAGATAGTCTTGATCACCTCGCGCGTCGCACCGGCGAAATACTCAACGGGGCGTACTCCCATCTGCTCGGCGACGCTTATTGCTCGTATCTCTGATGCGGTATCAGATCTGATTCTGTCTGTGACATGTGCGACGTGATTATTCCTCCAGCGCAACGTTGAACAAGCTTCTGATTGGTCGATACCATACCCTAAATAACTAATAGCATAAAATGAAGAGAGTATACTGTTTAAGAGTATTTATAACATCAAATACAAGCAAATAATAAATTAGACTATGCACTTCGATACAACAAAAGCAAGCTCTATCATCTATCTCAGAAATTTTAAATCCATTGCGACCGGACCGTGGCGCAATCAAACATCACCTAAACAAAAGAAGGCATTCAATAGTGAACGAGCCGTGTATGAAGCCATGGACGGCGGCGTGCTCGCCATCTTGGTGAACGTCAGCTTCGTGGCCGTGCTGGCCATCGCATTCTTCATGATGCGGCGCAAGCTCATTCGAGTGCACACGCGGCGGCTTCGCGAGCTGGCGGCGCCACTGCTCGGCAAGTACGTATAGAAAAACGTGCATGATAGCGCTCTGCATCCACCTTTACTGACGAGTGGTGTTCTCTGTGCGTTAACTGCTCCAACAGTTCCTTAACTACGAATGATCACCGCCTTGACACGGCCACGCGAGAGGCCGAGAAGGGCTTCGAAGTGTGCGCTGTGTGCGAGTTCGAGAACTTCAAGGACGCGCTCTTCTGTTCACTCTGCGGGGAACGCATGGGGACGCCTGAGGAGTCTGATAACAGCAGTAATAACAGGAGAAAGCGCCGTCGGAAAGAAAAGAAAGAACGCAGGACTAAAGAGAGAGCAGCCGTGCTGCCACGCCATTTGACGGAGCGCCAGCTTCGTGCCAGGAAGCGCAAGGAATGGACGCGGAAATTGGACGTTGAGGGCAACATGTTCTGGTTCCGCGTGAAGGAAGGCAGTGGACCTATGGTGCCAGGACGCGTGGGTAAAGTGATCCGGTTCGTGAAGCCCAACGAGAACCCGAAGATGCCTGGACAGGTGAACGGACCTGTCGCGATACAGAGCGAGGTGGCCGTCGTGGAGCCGGCTAAAGTCAAGGTGTTTAATGAAGTGGCTGACATGGATATCATCCCAGCCACGAAATGGGACGCTGCGGCCCGTGCTACCGGCGAGTTGCTGGAGGATGACACACAGACAGGAGTCGAACGTCGTCGCGAGACACTCGAACTGGCGGCGAAGGATTTTCCGTCGAAATACGCCTATTTTGTCAAAACCACGGCGTCGTTGCTAGTCCCACCTGAAGTCGAGTTCCTTAAGCTGTCGCTTCACAGAGACTACATGTTTGAGGAGTCGATGGAGCATCTAGGATGCATAGACGAGAAGTATATTCGCTCGGCGATGCGTATCAATTTCCTCGAGGAAAACGGAGTGGACGCTGGTGGACTACATCGCGAGTGGTTCATGATGCTTACGGAGCTGCTGATCGACCCGAAAACGGGGCTGTTTAAAGCTACGAACGGGGAGGACCGCGCCTTTTTCCTGAACTCAAACTCCCGCTACGACAATGGAGAGGAACATCTTATTTACTTTTACGGAGCGGGAAGGCTGCTGGGGCGGGCGCTGCTGGAGGGAACAGTGCTCAACTTCCACCTGTGCGTCCCGCTTCTCAAGCTCATCTTGGGTACGCCGCTGTGCATGGACGATGTAAAATATTTTGACCCAGAAGTCTACAAGAGCATGACGTGGATACTAGAGAATGAAGGCGTGGAAGCGCTGGACCTGGACTTCAGCGTGATGGAACGCGTGGGTGATCGCGCCATGACAGTCGATCTCATACCTAACGGACGCAACATCGAGGTGACCGACGCTAACAAGCACGAGTACTTGGAAAGGAAGTTCGAGCATCTGCTGCTACGCAGTGTAGCCGACCAGCTCTACGTATTTCTCAAGGGTGTGTACGAGGTTATACCACAGCATTTGTTGATGCTGTTCGACTACGAAGAGCTGGACTACCTCATGTGTGGTTCGCCAGAGATTGATGTGGACGACTGGGAGAAGAACACGTCGGTGGCTGAGAGTGTGGCACGATCACCAACTCTCGCCTGGTTCTGGGAAATCGTAAGGGAGATGCCCAATGAGTATCGACGACGTTTGCTGCAGTTCACCACCGGCTGCTCTCGTGTACCGCTCGTGGGCTTTAAGGGACTGACAAGCTACGATGGCAAAGTGTGTCTATTTACGATCCGCGGAATCGTGGGTGCACCCGACGAGTTCGTGCGCAGCTACGCATGCTTTAATCGACTGGACTTGCCGCTGGGCATCTCACGCTCTGAGCTCAAGCGTATGCTATATGCTGTGCTGGACACGGAACAGTATGGCTTCACGACGGACTGATTGCAAAGCGCTGGCGCAAGGTGAGATACTGACAAGCGATCCAGACACGAACTTTACTACTTTGGTTGAAGTGTACCATTTTTTTTTATTCTGAGCCGCATAATCATGTTTCCTTGAAGGGGGTGTTGACTTTTTGAAGTAAGGAAAACATCTTCAACTTTGCATGCTCCAGTATGTAAGCAATCATTCTTAGTCGTCGTGACCCTCGTCCTGATTCAAAACAAATGAGAAACGACACCCTCTAAAATCAATCGATCCGTTTGTCAGGAAATTATATCTCACAGTTTTTCGGTTTCTTCGTCCCTGACCGAATCCCAGATCTCACTTTTCAATGATACGTTTTGACAGGTATGGGTTCGTCCGACAGTTACGGGCGTCACTTTCATGGCATAACGACTTATTCAGGATTTGCTCCCGCATTGCGACTTGTTCCTTGCCAGCACTTTCGCTGCGTGATGACACTGGCAACCAAAGGCGCCTCCCTGTTAGCGGCAAGTGACCTGTCCGTGTGTTGTGCCGTGCTATTGATCGCAGCCGTCTTCCTCACCAAGCGCGCTGTGCGCAAGACAATTGCTGTTCAGCCTCACAACTCCATGATCCTCACCACGTACGTGGCGACGACAAACTGTGGCAACTGGCACCGTAAACTAACTACTCTTCACTCCAAACATTGCAACAGTGAGCAAATGGCAGACCTCCGGGTTATTGCTGCTCAACGGTGCGTACTTACCGAACTCGACTAGCAAAGTGCCGACTAATTAAACTTCTTATACCTTAACAGGGAAGCAGAGCGAGGGTTTGCGACCTGTGTATCCTGTGGCTTCAAGAACTTCGCACGTGTGCTTCACTGTGCCCTGTGCGGAAATTCGAGCACTGATTCGAAGCTTCCTGCCACTGTTCTACCTTCTGTCAATGATCCAAGGGAAGATGTTGCGCTGCCTCGCCGTTGGGAGTGGACGAGGGAATTAGACGTTCACGACCGCCTTGTCTGGCGTCGTAGACTGGCAGAGGGAGGCGATTGCTCCCCGGGTTACGTGCTGCGCTTCGACTTGCCTCCGGAGACTGAGCCTGAAGCAGAGCGTGAAGTCTCAAAGCACAGACAACGAAGTTTGAGTACGGGGTATGATCCATGTGCAGATGTGCAGTTTGAGCTGCTGGAGCCACGCGACGTTGATCCAACGCAGTTTCCATTGCCGCCTCCACGAACCGACATGTCCGACACGATGGAGGATCTAAAGCACACTGCGGTACACGTCGCTGCTCAGGATTTCCCGACGAAGTACGCTCATTTCGTTACTTCTGCTACTTCGCTCATTCAGGCAGGAGATCGCTCAGTTCGCTCGTGCTTGTCAGTGCATCGTGACTACATCTTAGAACAATCCGTACAGCACATAAACTGCATTCGGGAGGAGAGTATACGATCGGTGCGTCTACAAGTCAATTTTGCTGGACACGAAGACTTGCCAAGCGACGAAAAAGACGTCAGTGGTCTGCACCGTGGATGGATGACGCTGCTGAACGAGAAGCTAGTAGACCCCGATGTTGGACTCTTCTTGTGTACGCAACGGAGTGACCAAACGTTCTTCATTAACCCACAGTCGAAACTCGTTCTCGGAGAGGACCATCTGCAGCACTTCAATGCTGCTGGAAGACTAATCGGCAGAGCGTTACTGGAAGGTTCAGTACTCAATTTCCACCTGTGTGCGCCACTGCTTAAGATGATGCTGGGGACTCCAATCACATTTGGCGACTTGGAATTTCTGGATGCCGAGATATACCGGAACTTGACGTGGCTGTTGGATAACGATAGTGCTGAGTCACTGGAGCTGGATTTCACGGTGACACAGCGCCATGGCAACCTCGCGCAGACCATCGAGCTCATCCCTGCTGGAAGGAATATCCAAGTGAATGACGACAACAAGTTCGAGTTCGCGGACCGCAAATTCCGCTTTATGATGTTTGAGTGCGTGGCACCGCAACTGGCCTCGTTCCTCAAGGGCTTCTATGATGTTGTTCCCCAGCGAATGTTGCTCCCTTTTAATTACGAAGAGCTTGACTACTTACTCTGCGGTTCGGATGAGATCGATATTGCTGACTGGCGGCTTCACACTCACTTGGCATTAGAATCGCGACAAGAGGTTACATGGTTCTGGGACGTCGTGAAGGAGATGTCACGAGTATACCAGAAGAGATTGCTGCAGCTTGCCACGGGCTGTTCGCGAGTGCCGCTAGTTGGATTCCAGGGTCTTACCAGCTACGATGGCCAGCTGTGCAAGTTTACGTTGACGGACGCAGTCGGCGTGGCTTACTTCCGCAGCCATGCATGCCACAACATGCTGGAGTTGCCCTACTTTGAGACGAAAGATGACCTCCGTGCAGCGCTATATGCTGCCCTGTACAACGAATCCAGTGCTGCCGATACTAAGGCTCTGAACACCGTACCATAGATGTGCAATGTATATTGGCTAGCAAATGAAGCTAGCTTGGGAAAGCCCATTTGTACTACCGACATGAAGTACCATTAATGACGTGAAAAAGCATGAAACATTATTTCAGTTGCTGCACTACTCATTGAAAAACAAATCGGTTGAATACATTGCAGCCAATGACGTCCTTCTCACTGCGGTAGCAGTCGGTCGACCTCCTCACGGTCGATGCCGGCTCAAGCATCTTCTTGCGATTCAAAGCCACGCCACAGATTTTCTCCGCTTCCAGCAGAACCTTCTTGCACTTGAACCCACTGTCGAGCAAACGGTTTGTGTGCGAATCGAAAAGTTGTTTGTTGTCGCGATCAGCCTCATCCGTCATTTTGCATTGAGCCGCAGCAGCGTGCTTTTCCTCTTCGTCGGTGTCATTGATGCCGTCACAGCGTTTGCGTGTGGGCACTTGTTTTTGGGCCATCGAAGAGCTCTTCGTAGACTTGTCACCTCGGAATACGGCAGCTAGCTCTTCGTAGTATGGACACATTTTGACAAGTCTCTTCTTAGCAACTCTCCCCACCTCGCCTCGCTGGCACACATCATAATGCTTGTGAACTATAAGCCAGTTTGTAGCAGCCTCGACTTTATTCTGCAGCCTCAATATCTTATCGTAAACCTGGTCAGCGTCACGATGCGTAATGCCTTCCATTTCCAAGTACGCTACAATTTCTTCGCAGAGCGAACTCTTCTTCTCCGTTTGCCAGCGCTTGTAGTTGCCCGGCGTAGTCAGCCACTGCAGAAGTACATGAATGGAGGCTGGCGAATCTGGATCCATTGCATCAGAATCCCAGTATCGAAGTGAAGGTTTAATTGGCTTACTCCAACCAGCGGGGCGGGCTTTGCGAGTCATCCTAGCAGAGTGCCAGAACTTTCACAATGAATTCTATGGAGCTGCATCAGAGAATCTGGGACCAGAGGACCATTACAGTTGGCTGCAGAACCAGTGTTACCACGTCGCAGTTTAAATGAAGACATGCAATATCCTGGTCAGGATACCACCGTTTGAAAAGATAGGCAAGTGTCAGCAATTCTTGTACCGCATCCCAGAAAGCATGGGAGATAGCAACATCGTTCCAGCACTCAACGGCTAATATCTCCAAGCATACACTATGTCAGGGATGGAATCAAAGATAAGGCGAAACTGTGCCACGGAAGCGAATAACATCACATTTCACTTGGCCAGCTTTATAACTACCACCACCTCATTAAGCTTTCCATGGATCACATGGGGAAAATCCTGTCCACTTCTTCGAGAGAGATACCCGCATCCAGCAGCTTCTTTCGTGCCAAAGTTTTCTCTAGTACCAGTTGAACATTCCTGGTCTCAATCTCGGATTGGAGTCGCGCACATTCCAATTCAAACAGATGCCGCTTCTGCGCCTTGGTCTCGTCATCGATATTGTCATCCGTATTGGACTCGGTGCTTTGCCGCCTTGAACTCTCGGCTTCCTTCGTGGGCGTATTAACAGCAACGCTCGTATCACGTGATTGTAAAGGAGTATCATTATTCGAAGGTGTCGCGGCTTGGACCGTTGCTGTTGCAGGGGTGTCAGTCCTTGCCGTGCTATCGTCATACTTCACGTACGGAGCTAGCACTCCTACTAGTCTCTCGTAGTGTGGGCACATTTGCAGTACATGGCTCTTAATCCCCTCCTGCTCCAACGTCATATTCTCAACATTCAGCGGGTATTCCACCCTCGCCTGTCTTAACCAGGTATGTGCCGCCTGGAACGTCGTCACGAATGTCGTGAGCTGTTGTCGAATATCCACACTTTCTATTCCATGCCGTCCATGCGATCGCAGGAACAGTTTAATCTCATCACACAGTGGCTGCTTCTCCTCGTCGCTCTTCAGCAACCACCATCTCGAATAACTGCCAGGCACCGCTATCCAGTTCAGCAACAACTCCACCATCGCTCGTTCATCCTCTTCCCTTGACAGCCAAGCACTATCAACGCCTCCTTCCACTCGTCTCCGCTTCACACTCTGTCTCGGTGGGTCGTCCGTCACATTGGACGTCGACGTCTCCACCTCCATCCTATTTTCCTGTACGTCCTCAGCCTGGTCCCCCTCCACTTCCACTGAGTTGTCCACCTCCACCTCCGCCACCGGCTCTTCTACATCTTCCTCTTCTTCGTCTGTCTCCTCCTGGACCTGCTGTACCTGAACGTGCTCCGTCCTATTGACTGCCTCGGTCGTGACTGCCAGCATGTTCTGTCTAGTCCCATTCCTCTTCGAGAAGTTAAGTTGGTGCCTGCTCATAAAGCTGCTGACCCATCCCTTGGAGAAGCTCATGTCCGAGGGCAACTGCATCTCTTGCGCCATTTCCATGGCCTTGGTCTGGACGGCGGCGCGCGTCATGCACCCGCCGCGCTCCATTTCCTCGTGCACCCAGCGCAGTATCGTCTGGTCTAGTTCAGGATATTTTACTTTTCGCGCGGCGCGGAATCCGGGCGGCACCGCGGTGCTCAGCAGTTTGTCCTTGTCCCGTAGCAAATTGGAGATGGTGGCCTGTGTAGGCTTGCTTTCCAGGCCGAACGCCTCCTTCGCCCAAAGCGCCAAGTTGCGCTGCGTCCATGAGGGCTCCTCCTCCTTCTTCTGGATGATCGCTAGCTTCTCCCCGTACGTCAAGTTGCGGCGAGTTCGGCGCGCAGGTGATGCCATTTTCAAAGCCAAATATTTTACTTACACATTTTTACATTCGATTTCTTACATTGTTTTTACTTTTGGCGCTTCGATTTTTTAGGCTGTAATAACGTTAAAATAAACATGACTGTCAAAAAGCGTCCGCCGATTGGCGCCATTTTCTGATCCGAAGATGGCACGGAAACCGGCGTTGACGAAGGAGCAGAGGGTGGCGATCGTGCGCCAGAGCAATAAGCAACCCGAGTGGAAGCAGAAGCAGTTGGGCGAGTGGGTGGCCGACACGTTCCAGCTAAGTTTCGTGCCGTCGCAGCCCACCATATCCATCGTCTTGCGGCAGGCGGGGAAGCCCCCCAAGCCTCGAGCAAGTACCAAGCGGCCGCCTGTGCCAGTCAAACCTCCCAAACCGAAGATAGTCAAGTGTCCACAAGTAGAGAAGGCAATGTTGTATTGGTTGGAGACACAGATTTCCAAGGATGAGGCCGTTACGGTGACCAAAGTGCAGACCAAGGCGAAGGAGCTCGTGCAGCAGGGCAAGGCCACGGTGGACGGCTTCGTCGTGTCGGACACCTGGGTCGATAGTTTCATGAGACACCATGTTCTAAATTGTCTTTTTGGATTGTCGGACGCGGAGACGACGGACGATGAGGAGAATGAAGAGAACGTTGAAGTTGTCAATGCTATTGCAAAGAGTGCGGAGAAGGGCAAAGCGGGCAAGACAAGTCGCCGAGTGGTAAGGACGTTAGTGGAGAAGAAGGACTCGCGCACACCAGCGACGGCGAAAGCGAGTGCACCACCGGCAGGGAAGAGGAAACGAGACAGTAAAGGCAACGGACCGAGCCGACAGGTGAAAATGCGAAGATAAATTAATCATGAAGAAAGCGGCAGATAATGATTGCATTGGATAAAGGTGTGATGCTTTTGTTGTTGATGTTTGTTGCGGCGAAAATAACGATTCCTGCAAGTATGTTGCAAGGAAGAAGAGATGGTTGTACTGTGAAGATGGAGCCATAAATGGCCAGCAATGCCGCTGTTGGTACCCTATAAAAGATGAAAGAGCAGTGAACTTGTACTGGGTCACGGCGTGAAAGACGACATGAGTATTGATAAGCTCTATGCGTATTAGGTTGCAAGCATTTCAAAAGTCTTTCCGATACGTTCGATACTCAGTTCAGGCAAAAACACTGACGACAACGCGGCTCGTACAATTCACTGCCGCCAATAAGCTGAATTATAGACGTTCATGGCCACGTAATGAGAACGTTAACAACGAAAAAATAGTCACTGCACAGTTCTCACCTCTAGGGTTTTGTCGGCCACAAGACGTCTTGTGAACGCTGCATCTTGGCCGCACGAAGAGCAAATTGCGTTGAGTTTGATGACCTTCTCCGCCGTGGGAATCAATTCAACCACATTGTCGAAAGCCTGTATTGTCAAAATGCGTGCAACTGTTAGGACCTCATCATCTCCTCGTCTCCTCTCATGAAGACCCCTACTTTTCGCTCGAAAGTCGCATCCAGCGCTGCAACAACCACCACCTTGCCCATGTTAGCTGCATCTTGGCAGAACTCGACCAGCTAAAACAAAATGTTGCACGATCGGGCGTTATTTCCCCCACAAAAGTAAGCAATTCTCTATCGATCCTTACATCCGGGTAGAACTGCCCCTCATCGATACCGATCACGTCGTACTCGTTCAGGAATGGACGGACCTCAGCCAAGGTTTGCACGGGCATTGCTTCCACGAACACTTTGTCGTGTGTCGACAGCATTCTGCAAAATTCATTAGTCACAAAAGTACTACAGCGATTGTACAGTAGGCAATTGAAGTGGCTTACTCCTCTGAGTGGCGCGTGTCGAAGAGATATTTAACCACGAGACAGTCGAGCTTGGCATGTCGGTAGCGGTGGATGCGGCGGATGAGCTCTGTGCTCTTGCCACTGAACATGGGGCCGATGATGAGTTGTAGACACCCTTCAATGTTCATCCTCATTGCGCCGAGCTAGTCAGTTTAAGCTTGAATGGATTTAGAACCAACTTAGAAATCTCTAGATTTCGATAACCTATAATCACACAAGTCCAAAGTGACCATGGTTGGCGAAGACGAGGCCAAGCGCCAGAGCTTCTACGTGGTATATATCCCGGCGGACGAGACCAAGGAGCTGGAGGAATGGACGGTCAAGCTTCCACAAGACAAGGAGGCGCAGCTCGGCTGTTTGACGGAGCGTCTGCGCGAGCATTTTAAGAGCGGCGCCACTGCGGCATCGAAGCAGCAGCAAGAGGAGACTTTCAAGCAGCAATTACTGGCCCAGCTTCCCAAGGGTGCCACTTTGACGGATGAAATGCTGCAGATGATGTTGCAGATGGACAGCCTTGTAGATTCCATTCCGCTCGTGCTCAACACGCCCGACGTCAAGCACATAGGCATCAACATGTACGTGGACGACAAGGGCACAGCCAAGGCTCTACCCACCAACATTCGCGCGTCAGCTATTGCGCAGGCCTGTGGCAAAATGCTGGAGGTCAAGGGCGATGCATTCATTGGTCGGGTGTTCGACAACGGTGAGTACAGGAATGCTAGGGTACCATTGGGGCGCATTATCACAGTGTTCTAATGGCGTTTATTGTAGACGACGACTTTGTGCGAATGGATTTCCGGTTGAGTGAGGTGTCAGGTGACGCGCCTTGGGTACAGACAGCCAAGTTGCAGTCAGCTGCGGCTGCGGCAGGTAACGGAGGTGCGGCGGCGGGGGCTGCACTGGCCCGAGCCAAGGCTCCAGGCAAGGTGATGCTGCCTGGATCGATCCAGCGCATTTGCGGCGCTGACCGCTGCTCGAAGAACGGCACGCTGCGTTGTTCGCGATGCAAGGCGCAGTTTTATTGTAGTCCAGAATGTCAGAAAGCAGACTGGAAGTTGCACAAAGTCGGATGCAAGAAGTAAGGCGGATGACGAAAGAGGAGAAACAAGTTACTTCAGCCGCTGTTCTCTGGTTTCTTTCTTCACAGACCCAATTAATTTGCACACGCCCAACTCCGTCATGTGACTTTTTCCTGTCGTTTATAGCGGCAAAATGCGGTCAATCTCTTCTTGAGAAACTCCAAGCTGATCAAGTCTCTTACGCGCCGCTGCCGTCTCGAACACCAGCTGAACCTTTTTCGCCTCCATCTCGAATTCCAACTTGGCCCGCTCCAGCACGTACATTTCATGGCGCTGTTTCTCTTCATCAGTGACTCGTTTCAGCAGTGCCTCTCGCTCATCGTTGACACGTTTCAGCAGAGCATCACGCTCAATATCCTTTAGGGCCTTCGTGGTCGTCTCGACCTGTTCTTGTGTCCGGTTACGCTTCACTGTCGTCGCACCTTCCTCCGAGCTCTTTCGTTTAGCTGCACTAGTCTTCGATACACTCTCCTTCTTGCCACTGGTATTCTCCTTTGTACCATTCGAAGATGCAACAGCTCCAGCTTTTGGTCGATCCATCCGCTTCTTACCAGGCGCAGGGGGACTCTTCGGAGCTTCTGGGGCTGCTTGCTCCATCACAACCTGCATAGCCGACGATAAAAGGTTCTCTTTAGACGCACTCCTCTTCTTCTTCGGCTTCACAGTCTTCTCTTTCTCAGCAACCGTATCAGTAGCTGACGTCGGGATCTGCTCTTCGGCTACACTAGTCTTTTCTGGAGTTGTCAAACTCTTTCTCGCAGCAGCGTAACCTGGCGAAGGTTCAAGCTGTTTAGCTAGTCTGCTCACCTTTTTCTGCGGAACTGACGTCGAGCTCTTCTCCTTGTCAGCAACAGTATCCTTGTCGGCAAGCATTCGATCTCTGAACGCCCGGGCTTTCTTCTGTCGCTCTTCTGTCGATATAGGAGGCTTCTCCTTCGCCGTTCCGTTATCTTTTTGAGCGAAAAGCCGGTCTCTAAACGTATCCCGCTTCTCCGTACGTGCTGGAGCCTTCTCTTCTTCAGTCAACTGATCATCCTCACTCTCCTCTCCCTGCTTTTCCTCTGCTTCCACGTCCTCAGCGCTCTCGTCATCCAGTTCGATTGTCTCCGCGTGTTTCTTACTGAACGGAACGCCTCTAAAAGCCGGGTCTAGCTTTTTAAACAGAGGACAAATATGATCCACATGAGCGCGCACCTCCTTCGTGGCTTTGCCTTTCATAAAAGAGTCGTGCATGCCGGTCTCCAGCAGCCACTTCTGAGCTGTGATGTATTGCTTTTCAATAGCGTCCAGCTTGTAACGCACAAAGGGCGCCTGACGGTGAGCTAACCCCTCCTCCTGCATCAGCTCCACTACTTCACGAGTAAGCGGCGCCCGCGGCTCCAAGCGCCAACGCTTCACGTTGCCGGGTGTCGTGAGCCAGCGTATCAATACGTCCATGGTTGTTGGCCCACCCGGCCGTGCATTGTCCACTAGCGCATTAGGGTACGTCGCGCGGGACTTCTTGGTCTTGGGAGTCATCGCTCAAGGTTGGAACTTTGGGATTGTTTTACTTTGCCACCATTGAGGCAACATAAGATGATACAAACAACTTTAACGCAACTGAAGCGATCATTTTTCGACTTGACCATGGTCAACATCGACTAACGTTATAACGTTACATCAACTTATGCAGTGGCAGCACGCGGTCGACCTCAGCAGGATCTATGCCGGCCCCTAACAGCTTCTTGCGGGCGAGAGATCGATCCATCGCTAGCTGCACTTGCTTTGCTTGTAACTCGCACTCGAGCTTGGCACGCTCAATTTTGAACAGCTCGTCGCGCTGCTCTCGTTCCTGCTTTGCACGCTCGATAAACGCCTCGCGTTCAAGGTCCCTGGTAACGCTATTGGAACCACCGTCTGTCCGAGAGCGCTTATTCCCTCTAGGAGAGATAGGTGCCTGGCTAGAAATGCTGCGTTTCAGAGTAGAAGATTCAACTTCAGGCTCGGTCTCATCGACCTGCTTTTCGGAGTCCAACTCGCTCTGTCCGACAGACTTCTCGACGTCTTTCTCCATATCGACATCGTCTTCGTTGTCCTCTGCATTAAGCTCCTCTTCATCAGACTCTTCTTCCTGATCTGAAGGTGTTTTTAACTGAGTAGGAGGTGTTTCTTCCTCCGACTCAGCCTCGTTCTCGCTTGAAGAATTACTGTCAGAATCGTCACTTGGGTCTGCTGCCTTTGGAGATCTGTCGAGTGTCGGTTCTTCCTCTGCTTCCTCCTCATCCTCAGTTTCCTCCGATTCGTCCGCTTTGCTCTCTTGGTCATTCTCCTCGTCATCGTCGTCGTCGATTTGCTCAGCCTGCTCGCCGTCTTCACCTCCAGGTGTTGAGTCAACCTCGTCGGGTTGAGCCAACGGAATTCGCTCTTCTCCATCGCCATCTTCTTTCTCGCTGTCGCTCTCACTTTTGCCGCTTTCTTCTTCCTCGGAACTACTGCTTCCCGATTCGATGTGCTGCGGCTTCGTTCTGAAAGGACTTCTCACTCCAGTTCGCACAGTAATACGCTTCTGTGGTTTCTCCTCCTCAGAGCTTTCACCTTCAGCATGCGCTTCGGCTTGCTCTGTAATGGTGTCGGTCTCTTCCTCGCCACCTTCGCTTTTTGCGCTCTCTTCCTCACTGTCGCTCTGCTTATTCTCATTAACATCGCTATGACCGTCTTCAACATCTGCAAGAACACCGTCTTCCTCTTCTTCCACAACAATATTTTCTGCCTGCTTGCCAACATCATCATTCTTCTGTTGGCCAGCACCACTGGGTTTGTTCTTGCCCACAATTGCTGCACCCTTCTTCACATCAACAGTTTTCTGCTGATTTTTGGCCACAGTAGCGGATTTCTTGCTAGCTGCAGCATCGGCGCCGCTCGCCTTCTTATCCTCAGCCTTCTCGTCCCCAATTCTCTTCTTCTTCTTTGTTGCCAATTTCTCCTTCTGTACACTTCCTTTCTCTCCACTACTGACCACATCCGATATGTCCATTACCTTCTCCCCTTGGCCATTAGCATTCGTAGTCTCACTCGTAGCTTTACGTCGGTCCTTCTCCAGATTCTTTTTCCACTCCCCTGCGGCACTCACGCTGCTGCTCGCAGCTACTGGACCCTTCGCTCCACTAGTAGCAGCCCCATTAGCAGTACTCTTCGGCGTTACTTGCGTCTTCTTTCCAGCCTTGTTTCCCCCAAAAAATGCCACCAGCTCTTGATATTGCGGGCAGAGCTTAAGCACCTCCTTGGACACCTCCGGATCCGTCTCCCCCCGTTGAAACGAGTCCAGCTGGTTCTTCCGGGTTAAGAATGCGCTAGCAGATGTAAATTGCTTCTCCATAAACCAGATCCGGGAGTGCACGTCGCCCACCGCCCGGTGCTGGATACCGTTGGCCGCTAGCACTTGGATAATCTCTTTGATCAGCTCCTTGCGCTTCTCTCGACGCCAACGTTCGGCGTTGCTGGGTGTCGTGAGCCACGTCATGAGGACCTCCATAGACGATGGAGAGTCGGGTGACACGCGGTCGGATTCCCATGGCACCGACTTGCGGCGTACGTCGTCTTTGATTGCCTTCTTGCTCCGTGCCATCTCGTGTTTTCTAACACATGTCAAACAATACATGTACCTGTCAAAAAGTGGTACAGATTCCGCCTCCACTTTCGATATCCTAAAATAAAATGTCTTACTCGATGTATGACATTATAAAGGACAATGACGAGAGAAAACGTGTGCGATATTTATTGTGGCTGTCACTCCTACTCACTAAACGATAACGGTAAAAATTCGGTTTTGAGGGGTATGTAGTATGCTAGTACTAGCAGAAAATGTTATTTTATTACTAATTACTATAGTACAAGTGCTTCTTACAATTAAATTTGTAACTTTGATGTTCCATGCTCTAGTTTTAGAGCTCAAGTTTTCAGTGAAACCCGTCAATTTAGTTTGTTCTCAGCCTCCCTTCACCGAACATGGGTATCTGGATCTCGCTGAGCTGCTCGTACCTGCAGGGCATAATTTGCTGAGCTATGCAACGTCTAGTTCGGTGCCTGAAGTAATCGAAAAGATACTTGACAGCGGGGTTTTGGGGCAAAATGACAAGTTTGCTGCCTGCGCAGTGGGGACTTTAGCTCGACGTGGCAGATTCACCTTAATGCAGCGTGCAGCTCGGCTTTGGACGCCCTCTTCAGAGTACCAGTTTTGTTGGCTGAATAGTTAGTATGACGCTTTACGTGAAGCTTGTGAAAGTGGAAAGAGATTTCCAAATCTCTCTAGACTACGGTGGCTAATGCAGCACCCATTGGGTGTGAAGCATGTGGAAACGCCTGCGATCCCTTCCGTTTAGCAGCCGGGGCAGATCAAGTTGAGGTTCTGGAGTATCTCTACTCCCAGGGGTTCCGCGATGGAATAGGGGACGCTATAACTGACGCTGTGGATCTAGGACAACTGAACGCAGTGAAATGGTTATTGGAACATAATGCCTATCCCGGTGGACTCCAGACATATTCTCTGATTGGCATTGCTGCAGGTCGTGGCAATCTGGAGATACTGCAGTATTTTCATAATTTGGACCCGTTGTCAATTCTTGAAGCAAATCGGCCAAAGCAAGGTGAACTAGGATGGTGGCTTCGAACAGAAGAAGCGGTGAATGAAGCTGCAAAGTTTGCCACAGTGGAAGTTCTCAACTGGTTACGAGCGAATGGCTACAATGAAAAGTGTTCGGCAGAGGCAATGAATCATGCAGCAAACTCTGGACGATTGGAACTATTGGAATGGCTCCACGTTACTAAGGCTAGAGAATGTACAACGAATGGAGCTGCCTCGAATGGACATTTAGAGATCGTAAAGTTTCTTCACAAATACCGTCCGGAAGGTTGCACAACAAATGCAATGGATCTGGCTGCTGGCGAAGGTTGCACTGTCCAAGCAATCCAGCAATCCGTTGCGCGGGGACACCTACGCATTGTCAAGTTTCTTGCCGCTCACTACGCTCAATTTGTCGACCAGGTGGACCCCCTCACTTGTGAGCACAACCTGGAAATGATAATGTTTCTCCAGATGCAGCATCCGCAGGTCTTCTCGCTCGAGAACGTTGCTAACATGCTGGGTCGCCTTGAGGGGGGTAATACAACTGTGGAGAGCGTTCAAGTGTCTAACTGGCTGAAGGAGCACTACTCTTCGGTGGAGTAAGACCGCGCCAAGAAAGATCGAAAATACTACTTTTATGAGCCGCCTCAAGCGTTCTTCTAGAGGAAGGTAATACGAAAGTGTGGTCTCGATCTTCGCAGTTTTTATTATCTTATCTTAATTCGAGAAAATTTGGTCTGTGAACGCTGCTTGAAAAGAAATTGTTAAAGAGGTGGCAGGATTTACCCCCATCACAACGGCATGAGGCGGTTTACTTCTTCGATAGTAACCCCCAGCTCAAGCAGTTCCTTGCGCGATTTCACTCTCACACAAATGGCCTCATCCCGCTTAGCTTGTAGCTCGAGCTTGAAGAGTTCATGACGAACGGCCTTCTCGGCTTCCAATAGGCGTCTTTGGCCGGCATCATATATGTCAATCTTCGTGCCATTGACCTCCTTCCTGGTAGTTTCGCCATTGTCGTTGTTGAGTAAGCGCTTGAAGCCAATGTTATACGTCGTCACATCATCGTTATCGAAATACTCCAAAGCATCATTCACCGTCCTGAAAGAGGCTGCATCTATGCTGTGGCCGTGAGAGATCACAACTCCAACGGGTCGAGAAGACTGCAGTAAACGTGAAAGTTCCCGATAATACGGACATGCCTTCAATACCTTTCGCTCTGCCCTACTATTGCGATCCAGATAGTAAATGCCTTTCCTTTGTAGCCAATGATCCACCTTCTCGAAGCTGTGCATTAGCTCCAAAACCTTGACGTCAACACTGCCACGCGAGCGATGCTTGATACCATGGACCAGTAACGAACCATAGATCTCATCTACCACCGCAACACGACGTGTCGTATTTCGTTCGTTTGACGATTCCCACCAGCACTTCGCATTCTTGGGATCCGAGAGCCATTGCAATAGGACTGCCATCGATGATGGTCTTCCATCACCGCCATCTTCGTCCCAGTACAAATTCTCCATCGCTGCAAAAAGATATCTTTGACTCTTGGTGAAGGTACCTTGGAGGTACTTTGAAAAGTATCATTCACGGAATGGTAGTCAAATGCTCTTGTAGAGGGAGATTTGAAGATCATTTCAACCAAGTGACGTTGACAACATGTTTTTAATCATCGACAACAGATATCCATAATTTCATCACAAAAATAACCAACAGACAACAACTTCCGGTAAGTTACAAAGGCAATAGTCGATCGACGTCACTGCGAGGAAGACCGAAATCGAGCAGTTCCTTCCTCACTCTAGCCCGCACCAAAACTGCTTCGTCACGCTTGATTTGCAACTCAAATTTGAAAAACTTTCGGCGCTCGTCGGATTCGGCTTCCAATGCAACCACAGACATCATTTTCTTTCCACCTGCCTCTTGAGTGTGCTCGTTCCGACCTCGTTTCGACCCAGATAGCATAGGGGTTAGATTGCGAGCAGTTGGTTTAAACCTAATGTCAATCGCCTTGTTGCCTGACGTTGTGGACACTGTCGAAAGCTGTGCGGACCGAAGAACGGGCTCGATCGTTGAATAAGCCGGGCAGAGCTGTAGCACCGCTCTCTCAGCCTCCGCAGTATCTTGAAAATGGCGGATACCCTTACGCATGAGCCAGCTCTCAGCGTTATCAAACTGCTCCTCCAACGCCCGAAGCTTTGATTCAGCGCCACGTGCGGTGCGATATGTGATACCGTACGTCAACAGCAGGTCGTAAATCTCAGTTGCAAGTTCCAAACGCGACCCGTCCGCTTTTCTTGCTGCTTCCTGCCAACGCGCAGCATTACCCGACGTTACGATCCATTTCAGCAGCACATTGAGCGAAGATGGCCTTCCATTTACATCATCAGAATTCCATTTAGAGTTGACAAGGCCTTCATCTCGATATTCACCTTCAAAAGCATCACCGACATCATCTTCGTTTGGATCAGTCTCCTCGGAACTACTTGGGTACGCAGGCTCCTTTGCTGCGCCCGTAGCGGCCGTGTTGCTGCTAGAAACGTGGTGTAGTAAGGGCTTAATTTCACGGTAGTTCGGGCAGATCCTCAACACTGCACATTCCGTTTTCTTACTGACGTCAAAATGACGGAGCCCCTTCATCTTGAGCCATTCCTCAGCCTCCTCAAATTGCTGCACCAAACGGTTAAGCTTTCTCCCAATACTTCGAACGGTACGGTGTCTGACACCGTGGCTGACAAATATTCCGTGAATTTCTTTGGCCAATTCAACTCGCACGCCACCTTCTCTCCCTGCCGACTGCTGCCAACGCTTAGCATTCCCAGGAGCTCTTAGCCACTGTAGCAGTAAAAACAGAGACGTTGGGCCGTCACTAGTGTTATCCGAGTCCCATTCACGCTTGGCTTTCGGAGACTGAGACTTGGATCGCGTGCGTTTTGCAATCGCTTGAACGACATATTCGCGGATATTGCTGGAGTCGTCACCCCTACTTTGACCCTTTGAATCCTCCGTCGTGTCGAAAATTTGTGCTTCACTGCTTCGAGATTGGAGAAGAGGGGCAATTTTAGTGTAATGAGGGCAGATTCTCAGCACTTCCCGCTCGGTCTTCTCATCGACACTAGCTGGACAACGACGTATCGCTCTAGTCTCAAGACATTTCTCTGCTTGGATAAATTGCCTGTGTAGCCCCGCCAGCTTCGCTTTTATACTGGGAATACGACGATACGTGATGCCTCGACTGAGGAGCAGCTTGTAGACTTCAGTGCCCAGCTTGTGTTGCGACCCATCATGCTTCGCTGACGATTTATACCAGCGCCAAGCATTCCCAGGGATCGCAAGCCACTCCATTACCACATCCAGGGACGACGGTCTCCCGGCCTTGGCATCCGAGTCCCATTTCGGATTCAACGTGTATGTTTTGAGACTGTCCCTTTCACTCCTCGTCCACTGATGAGCTAAATCTTCACTTTCAACATCACTACATTCATCGTCACTGCTCGCAATCTTAATATTTAGTCCCAGTTGGACGTCGGTCTTAGTAGAATGGGATCTCGTCCATGAAGGACGCAACAGAGGAGCGAGTTCACTGTAGTAGGGACAAATCTGCAGCACTTCGCGTCGTGTTTTGCTGTTCACTTCGAAATGGCTACATCTCTTTAGCTTCAGCCATTCTTCGGCTTCTCCAAACTGGTGCACGAAATGCGAGAGCTTGCTGGTGATGCTGCTTCGGTTGCGATGCGTGATGCCGCGACGCAGGAAATACACATAGATTTCTTCTGCCACGAAACTCTTTTGCCCAGCTGATACCAGCCACCTTTCAACGTTCCCAGGTGTCGCTAGCCACTCCAGTAACACGTCCATTGAGGAAGGCTCCCCATTCACGCCGTCTTTGCCCCAATTCGCGTATTTCGACATCGTGGGCCACGATTCGTGGCGGTTTATGTATCTAGCTGCTCTTGTAGAGGATTTTGTTTTCAAATGACAAGCTACCGTTATGATTTTAATGACAGAAAATCTGAGACAGGAATGCCGACTATTTTTTTTTCTTCTCTTCCCCGATTGACTTGTGTCCGAGTGGGGGGGACAACTTTAGGTTCATGTAGCTCTTTTGTCGACAGCATGGCCGACCAAGTCGACGAAATAATGAACGAATAGATGCACGTTAGTGCCCTGCAGTGAATTGCTTCAGTCGTCACAACGGCTTCAGCAGAGGGACTGAAGGAGTTCACGTCGATGACGCAATTCCATTTCCTGCCAGACGTCAAGACCCATGTTTGTACTAAATGAAGCATTATCGTCGCGTCTCTCACTGCGTATGTTCGTGGTCGGTTCGAGCTCCGATGACGCTTAGGTTACGCAGCAGCATCAACAGGCCGAATATTTTGATTCCTTGCTGATCGTCTTAACGACTTAGCAATGCTTGCCTCAAGACCGTAAACGTGAGGACTAGTCGTAATACGAGGTTTGTTGCAGTGCAACAACGGTGCGACCACTTCGTAGTCCGGACAAATCCGTAACACCGTTTGCTTCGCCTCCTCGTTGTCATTCTCGCGCCAAAACCCCTTGCTAACAAGCTAGCCGTCAGCCTCCGTCACCTGCTTCGCTAGCTGACAGATCTTCGCGTAGATTGCGCTGACCGAGCGGTGCGTGACGCCATGATCCACAAAGAACTCGTGCACCTCGTGCGCCATCGTTGACTGCAACCGCTTCTCCGAGGCTTCTCTCCACCACACTGCATTGTTATCTCGCCTCAGCCACACTAGTAGCAGCTCCATCGACGACGGGCCTCCATCCACGCCGTCCTCATTCCATCTGCCCTCCCGGTTCGCTACCATGTTAACTCACAAAGATCTGTAGCCATATCCTTCTTAAATGACTACATTCATGTACACCACATACTATAGTTCTTGTAGAGGAAGAAACGCATTTCGACTATGAAGCTGGCCAAGGCAGCGGCGCAGCAGCTCAAGGGCGTGGTCATCGAGTACGACGTCCTATGCAGCACGCTATTGGGAAAATCTGCAGCGGAACAGGCGGAGCAGCAGCGCCGTAAACTCGCAGCCGAGAAAAAGCATCAACAGGCGGAAGGCCGCTTCGGATCGTCGCTTTTCGGCGCAAAGTCCATCAAGTCTATGCTGGTGAGCGATGTGCGCAGCCTACTGAAGGACCTGAACGAGGACTCGACGGGAAAGCCGTGGGTGGTCAAAGACCGGCTAAAAAGCACACTACAAGGCTTGCCAAACCAGAGTATGCGGCGTAAAATGGTAGCAACAGGGATGCAAGCTGACTGGTTGTGTCATTGTGTGTCACTGCAGTTCTGGAGCGAGTAACAGGCTCCGAAGACAAGGAGAAAGCTGCGGCAGGTAAGAGCGAGGATGAGATTTACTTGGAGAAGCAGCTGCAATCAGCGTCGGAGGAACTGGCGCGGATGAAGCAGCAGAAAGAAGAGCAGAAAGAAGAAAGAGAGGAGTGGAGTAAGAAAGGCTTTGGAGTGAAGAGTGGGAATCAAGCGAGCTCATTGAGAGACAAGTACATGGACAAAATCAACAAATTGAAGGAGAAGAAGAAGCAAGAGGGAGCAGCGAGTAAGACAGCGGGGCTCGAGGAAGTCGTGGGCTCGACCACGTCTGCGGGATTGTCGACTTGGGTCGTGAACGAAGGAGCGAATGAAGTGTTGGTATGAACTGGTGAATGGTCATGGAGTGGAGATTAGATTGTGACTGATTTGAACGTTGATATTGTGCAGAGTTACTCGGATCTGCGGGGTCTGTTCAAGGCTGTGATTCCGCCGCGAGACTCGTTGCAGGATGTACGTATTGGAATCGAAGCGCCTGCTAAAGTATTGCTAACTCTCTTATGATTTCTATGCTGCTACGTGCAGGATGAGTACAACTTTTTCCTAAAGGAGGTAGCGTGTCGATTGCAATTGCTCATTGTATTCTCAATATCCTTAACAGCTACATGTACCCATGCTCAAAACGTTTAGATGGAGGGGCAATTCGATATGTTCGTACCGAAGGCAGACCAAGAAAAGTTCCCAGACCCGAAGCCGATCCTCCACATCTGCGAGGAATTCGGTCTCAAGCCATCCGATGTCCTGGTGTTTGCACGGCACGCACCCACCATCAAAGCCGCCAAGTACGCGCACTCAATGTCGATTGACTTGCTTCCAAGTATTTGTTTGTTCACCACGTTTGTGTTGCTGTAATAGGGATGCAGGAACACACGTTTGCCACTACATGCCCGGAGACAAGGCCATCCCGAACCACACGGCACACTACCACTTGACGCACTTGCACGAGTACCAACACTTGGTCGAGGATTTTAACGGCATATCCTACCGCGACAAGATCAAGATGGGCTCCATCGAGTTCTAATTTAGAATCTAGAATCTGGCCATTTCGTAGCTATATCTCAAATCCTAAATGATGATGTAGCCATTTTGTTGTTGATTATGACCACCCACCAATTCAAAATTGAATCGCACTTTGGAAGATTTTGACCAGGGTGCTCTGGTGTCGAGCTTGCTTGCTCTTTGCCGGCTCGTACCTTCCTCTGCAGTGCTCTCAAGCGCGTACAACCGCTTCGTGACACACGCACTGCGTCTCCTCTATCTACCTGTCCCGGTTGCACCACGTAACTTCCCCTGTAGCCCAAGCAGTCGACCAAAATGGCGTACAACTACGTAGCTACGGCTCAGAAGCCCACGAGCGTCACACACTCGCTTACAGCGGCTTTCACGGGCGCGAACGACACCAATCTGCTATTAGCAAAGAGTACACGCTTCGAGGTGCATCTCTTGACGCCCGAGGGGCTCCAGCCGCAGCACGACATCAACCTGTACGGTCGTATCGCGATCTTCGAGGTGTTCCGCGCCGCCAACGAGCCTCAGGACTGGCTCTTCATCGTCACACAGCGCTTCCAGTTCTGTGTGTTAGCCTATGACGCAGCCACGCAGCAAGTAGTGACCAAGGCGCACGGCAGCATCCGAGACTCGATCGGTCGCAGTAGCGAGATTGTCACTAGTGGCAACATCGACCCAGAGGGCCGATTGATCGGCATGAATCTATACGAGGGCTACTTCAAGGTCATCCCTATTGACAATGGCAAGGGAATACTGCGAGACACGTTCAATATCCGTCTGGACGAGTTGCGAGTCATTGACATCAAATTCCTTCATGGCTACAACAAACCCACCATCTGTGTGCTGTACGAGGACTACAAGGCCGCGAGACACTTGAAAACGTACCATATTCTACTCAAGGAGAAGGATTTCGCCGAAGGACCGTGGAGTCAGTCAAACGTCGAGTCTGGAGCGAGTTTATTGATCCCAGTGCCAGCACCAACGGGCGGTGTGTTGATTGTGTCCAACCAGACTATTGTGTACCATAATGGAAGCACATTCCACGCTATTCCGATGCAGAGCACAGTGATTCAAGTGTACGGGGCGGTGGATAAGGATGGGTCGAGGTTCTTGCTTGCTGACCAGTACGGAACGCTGTCTGTTGTGGCACTGCAACACACTGGGAAGGAGGTGAGTGGGGTGCATCTTGAAGTACTTGGAGAGACGAATATTGCGTCCTGCTTGTCGTACTTGGACAATGGTGTGGTATTTATTGGCAGCACATTCGGTGATTCGCAGCTGATTAAACTCAACGCTGACCGTGATGAGAACGGGTCGTACATTGAAGTCCTAGACACGTACGTGAACGTCGGACCGATTATCGATTTTTGCGTGATGGATCTCGATCGTCAGGGTCAAGGGCAGATCGTGACTTGCAGTGGGGCTGACAAGGACGGAACGCTGCGTGTGATTCGCAATGGCATTGGAATCAACGAACAAGCCAGCGCTGAGCTACCAGGTATTAAAGGCATGTGGTCACTTCGCGAGACATTCGCTGCAGAACATGACAAGTACCTTGTGCAGAGTTATGTGAGTGAGATTCGTATTCTCGCTATCGGCGACGAGGACGAGATGGAAGAGAAGGAAATCCCGGCGTTCACGAACGTAAAGACGCTACTCTGTCGGAATATGTATGGAGATTATTGGCTGCAAGTAACTGAGTCGGAAGTGCGTCTTATCAGCTGCACTTCCTTTTCGCTCAGCTCGACTTGGTCACCAGTGTCAGGATCAAGGATTACAGTAGCTGCTGCTAATCCCACACAGGTTGCAGTCGCGACATCCGGCGGTGTGCTCGTGTACTTGGAAGTTGAGAACGGGCAGGTTTTTGAGAAGACGAAGGTGAAGATGGAACACGAAATCGCGTGTGTGGATGTTAGTCCGCTTACTAGCAGCGATGGCGGGGATGGTGACGTCTCCATGACGGGCTCAACAACGCATTGGGACATGGCTGCGCTTCGCAGTTCGCTGTGTGTCGTCGGACTGTGGACTAGCTTTTCGGTTTGCGTGTTGCAACTACCAAGTCTTGAGAAACTGACTACTGAATCGCTAGGAACGGACCTGCTTCCTCGATCAGTGCTCTGCAACACATTCGAGGGAAATGATTATCTGCTTGTTGGACTGGGCGATGGCAGTCTTATGAACTATGAGCTGAACGTCCAGCAAGGGACAATTGGTACTCGGAAGCGAGTGTCACTGGGCTCACAGCCTCTCTCACTGTCAACTTTTCGTTCCAAGAACATGACGCACGTGTTCGCTGCTTGTGATCGCCCGACAGTCATATACTCCAACAACAACAAGCTGCTCTACTCCAACATCAACTCAAAGGAAGTGAACGTCATGTGTCCGTTCGACTCCGAGTCCTTCCCAGAGTGTCTGGCGTTGTCGTCCGAAGAAGAGCTGACGATCGGTACCGTCGATGACATTCAGAAGCTGCACATCCAAACGTTCCACTTGAACGAGTGGGCGCGCCGAATTGCTCATGATCCAGACTCACACACACTTGGAGTGCTGACTGTGAGCTTTACCGTGGACGACACAGGCGAGGAGGTGGATCAGGGCTTTGTGCGTTTGTTTGACGACCAGACGTTCGAAGTGCTGCACTCGTACCGACTGGATCCGTTTGAGACCCCCTGCTCAGTCGTCGTATGTCCTTTTGCTGGAGACTCCGTGAACGCGTCGTACTTTGTAGTTGGAACTGCGTATATCCACGAGGAAGAAGCGGAACCCCACCAAGGTCGGATCCTAGTGTTCGCAGTCACAGGGATCCATGGCGAGCGGAAGCTGCAGTTGGTCACCGAAAAGGAAGTCAAGGGTGCCGTATACTGTCTGAATTCTTTCAATGGGAAGGTGCTGGCAGGTGTTAACAGCAAGGCACAGCTTTACAAGTGGAGTGAGAATACTGACAACGAGAAGGAGCTGGTGTCGGAATGCGGCCACTACGGTCACACGTTGGTGCTGTATATGGAGTCCCGAGGTGACTTTATTGTGGTGGGTGACCTCATGAAGTCGATCTCGTTGTTAAGCTACAAGCAACTGGATGGTACGATTGAAGAGATCGCGAAAGATCTGAACTCGAATTGGATGTCTGCTGTGGGCATTATCGATGACGACACGTACATAGGCAGTGAGACGGATTTCAACTTATTTACTGTGCAACGCAACAGCGGCGCGGCGTCTGATGAAGAGCGTGGCCGTCTAGAGACAGTTGGAGAGTTCCATCTCGGTGAGTTCGTTAACCGCTTCAGATATGGATCCCTGGTGATGCAGAACAGTTCGTCTGCTTCACAAGCTCCTGCTATTGCCTCTGGGCCCACTGCCATGGTTGATGTGGGTGAACCAGCTCCTGTTGTTCCAGCCGTTCAAAACCAGTCGATGCTGTTTGGCACTGTCAGCGGCATGATTGGTGTGATCTTGCCGATCACTAAAGACCAGTACGCGTTCTTACTACGCGTCCAGCAAGCGCTCACACAAGTCGTGAAGGGCGTTGGTGGCTTTTCGCACAAGGACTGGCGCACGTTTGAAAACCGGCGGTCAGTGTCTGAAGCTCGGAACTTTATCGATGGAGACTTGGTGGAAAGCTTCTTGGACTTGCCGAAGCCTCAGATGATGAAGGTTGTGGACAAGTTGAACAGTGATGGGATGCTGGATGGAACGGATCAATTTACGGTGGAGGATCTGACTTTGCGGATTGAAGAACTCGCACAACTACACTAAGTGATTCATACAGCTTACAATTGATGGACAGAGGAGCTGCACGGACGCATTCGATCTGTGTTTCAATCACAATTTGCTTTGCACTTGGAATTTTTTGTTTTATTTTTATCACTTTTACAGTTAGGCGAAACACAACTTTACTCAGTCAATGGTACCGAAGGCTGGGAGCACTAAGACACCGCGTGTGAGCGTCGATACGCAGAAGAAGGTGCATGCTTGCAATCTTGATGTGATCGATACAGTGATATGGAAGCTATCCAGGCAGGTTGGTATTAACTGCTCTAATTGGAACACAGGGTAAGGAAGATGTCAAGTTGCCAGCCCTGACGTCGCCTTCAACAGGCAAAAAGGTATTTGGTAAAGTAGTACGAAGTAACTTCATTCTAAAGTCCTTTCCTTTGTGATCAGGTCAAAGAGGTTCCGATGCCCAGCAAACCTGTGCCCAATGGAGGAGCTAAAGCGCCACCACCAAGATCTCCTTCGAAGTCTACTACACGGGTTCCTCCTACGAAACTATCGACACCTGTGAAAGCCCCTTCAGCGTCTCAACCCACCCCACTGCCAGTTGGAGACGAGAATGCCACTGAAAGCCTTGGCCCGGATGCTAATGCTGTCCCAACCCCAGGAGTCAAATCAATACCAGAAAATTTGGAAACGGATAGCGCGGGTCCGTCGACCACAGTGGAAGATCTACCAGCTTCAGTTGTTGAGCAAGCTCCAAATGATGTTGCTGCTGTAGAAGATGCTGCTGCTGCTGAGGAGGCCGAGCGTATACGAAAGTTAAACGGCAATGGAATGGTGAAGCTGATCTACGAAAGCTACGATGAACTATTCCCGATCGAAGATGGATCAACCACTCAAGCTAACATCGACGAAATCTACTGTCTATCGTTTGTGATGCCCAATTGCCTTGTGCGCCTTTCACGACATCCAAATCCTGAGCGATTCCAGCGAGAGGAGAGCGGAATCTTCGACAGTCTCGTCCGTGAAGATCCGCGAGGAACCTACCACGATTTGGAGAAAGATCAGACATATTATGTCATCATAGAGCAGGAAGCAGATCAATTGCGTCGCGACCAGGAGGCCACGAAGGCGCTTTGGGACGGAGAGCTCCAGAAGCAGAAGAAGGCAGATAAAGACGATGGACGCGGTTTCGAGTCCTGTTCGTGCATTTACGGCAATCCATGTGTAGACGAATATGGATGTCGTGATTGGCATTCTCGGTTTGCGATAGCTACGAAAAATGGATGGAAGGGATTCTAGTTGGTTGGATATAACGCGTCGGCTTTGATCTGTGGGCCCCATTGTGTATGCGATTGAAGAACGCTTACTTCACATTGAACTCTGGCTCACGTGTTTGTATGATACCATCCAGAATCGCTATAGTTCGAACGAGTCCCGCTCCTCGAGAAAACACAATCAACCAGTCATAGCGACCCTCATACATTTACCACTTGACCACTAGGGTTTTATAACCGTAGCTGACTAATTCGAAGTATTAATTATCCTCGGCTCAGCAAAACCAGCAAATGGATGTAGAAATTCATTAAGTTGTCAATCCAGTGAAACACTACCTTCAAAACACAAGTGCATGATATCAAAACATTGAGCTGCTCTATGCATACTTAGTTTGCGGTTCATTAGTTTTGGCACGAATGCACATAATAATCTTCGTGTGGGTCTTGCTCGCTCGTTGGAGGATATCCACACGCAGTTTTGCCGGCATCGCGCAGCTTCTGACTGAGCCCTACTTGATTCAAAAGTGCAGTGCTTTGCCGCGGTTTATTAGATATGGCTATCATCCATGTCCAAGATCCTTGTCTGCGCGCAGTACGACTTTCGAAAGTTCTAATCTGTTCAGTAGGCGATACAGTGCTTGGTTTCCATCGATTTTGTTCCATCTCGGCGCAATCGATGAAAATCTCGAATCTCCTCCATCCGTCATGTTCATTCCTCAACATTCACTAATCTGAAAAACCGTGTTTAGATATCACTATAATTTTTCCTCGATGGTCTCCATAGAGGATTCTTCTCCTCGTGTAAAGGTCATATTCATTCAGGTAGGACAAATCGATCGGTGTCAAACGGAAGAAAAGATTAGCCATGGCACGTTGCAGTCATTGAGATGGCTACTATTGCTATCTGTCCAGAACGGGGTCAGATCTCACACTGACAAAAGCCAATTGATTTCTCACCAGCGCGCTCAGCAAATATTAACATTGAATGGCGCCATAAAAGCACGACTATCCAATGATATGTTCTGCCGGCGTTGCTGTAAAGCGGGCAGAAGGCATACAGAAGGAATCGCCCTTGAGTTCAGAGAATGATTTCGGTAGAAGGAGGGCCGTTTACTCAGTCAGCGCACCAAGCTGCGAGTCGATGGGTTTCAAGCGATAAAATGTGTGCAAATATTGGTCTCATTGTGTTCACTACGAATACCACAACTACGCATTCCTTAGTCATGGCCTGTTCCAAACACTGCCAAATTGGACTACAGCTTTTTGTCCAGTATCTCATCTTAAGTTTGATTGGTCGGGAGACGGCTCACTTCAACATGCCTATTTAAACGCATATCTCATCAAAACCAAGCGCTATACAAACACTAGTTAACTCGTCCTACTAAACACTATACTGCAAACAGCTAGTCAACGACCCATCTCCTTTCGGTGTCTTGGGTCACCTGCCATGTCTAAGGTGAACTTGGTCGTGAGTCCTGCCTCATTATCTAAAAATCCCGGTCGAACGCAAGCACCAAACGAGTCGAAAACTATTGCAATCATGGCCCAGCTTGTGAGCCCGCAGTGCTCGTCCTGGTCCTTGGGCAGCAACTTCAACTTCAGTGGTAGCGGTCGAGCAGTGCCAGGCTCGAAGTTCGATGTAGCATCCACAGTCACTGCCAATCCACTCGACAACGACAGCAATCCAGGATTCTACGAGGCGGTGCTATCCCCAATACCGACAGTTCACGAACAGGTAGTACACCATCGATCACGTCGCAACTCGGCACTCCTGGTCAATTACTTCACAGCAGGACTATTCCACAGTGTCGTACCAGCTCTGGTCTACCCGTTATTTAAGATCCGTCTAGGATTGCAAGGCTACCAAGCAAATTCGGTGCAAACGTTGCTGGGTTGTGCGTGGCACGGTAAACTTCTGCTATGTCTGCTGACGGACTGCGTGCCAATTTGTGGCCACAGGCGAACGCCATACATTTACATTGGTTGGGTGCTCGTGCTGTCCATCCTCAGTTTAATGATGATCCTTCATCCAGATATCATGGTTGACAGTGATGTCGGTGATGCACCGAGATTGATTCTGGCGATCACCGCTGCGTCGGTGGGGTATTTACTGGTGGATTCGGCGTGTGATGGTTTGATGGTGGAAACGATGTACCGCGACAGTCAATTGGAAGAGAGAGGGTTGTTTCGCACCGCGAGTCTTTCGCAGAGCGCAGTACATACCGTAAGATTCATTGCTGAGCTTATAGGAACGCTGCTCGTGGCAGTTGGAATGAATTCGGAGGAGTACAACGGCGGGTTTCCATTTGAGATTTCGCTTCGAGAATTGCTCTTGGTTTTGATTGTGGTTGCCTCGATTGCATTGGTTACTACCGCGTGGAGTCTCTATGAGCCGCGTAGTACTCAGCCGGAATTTGTAGGCGATATCGATACATTTCCTGTTGCATTCCCGAAGTTGCGATCAAAGCTGGGCGAGTTTTGGCGCATAATGCAGCAACGCGCAACGTGGCAAATTGCCAGCTTTGGGTTTCTACAGAAGATGAGTCTATCTTTCGGAGTGGACTCGGCATCTCCTGCGCAAGCCATACACGAGTTCTGGTTGGACACCGATCCATTGACGAAGAACCTGTTTCTAGCTCTAACAAATGGTGGAGTCTGCGTCGCAGCTTCCGTCTTCGTGCACCGACGCCTTTTGTCGACGAGTTGGCACTCATCGGTTTGCATTGGATTGCTTGGTGGACTAATTACCGGCTTCTCAGTAGCAATGATGATGGTGTTCGATGTGTGGCGCAGCAAGTTTTTCTTCTTGGTCGCTAACCAAATCGTTGCGTTTACTGACTGCATCGCTATGGTGGTGCGAATGCTCGTGGTTGTGGAAATTGCTGAGCCTGGTTTCGAGAGCAGCACGTACGGACTCGTCACTTCGGTCTACAATCTTGCAGATCCGGTGGCAACAGCGTTGAACAACGCAATCGGAGCGTATTTTCGAGTTTTCGATGCTGACATTCAACAGGACGCCGATGACGTTCGAATAAGAGCTGGAGCTCTTTTTGCGGCGCTTTTCACGGTGCGCGCCGTGGTGGGTTTGGGGGCAATTCCTTTGTTGCCAAACCAAAAGCACAATGCCCGGGAATTAAAAACTCAAGGAGGATCTAGCAAAAGCATGGCATTGACGGTTTTTGGGTCTATTGGTGTAGGCTTCATTGTAGCTCTTGTGGCCAACATCCTTTCGATTTTCCAAAGCACGTCATGTCTAAGGTTTGCTGGTGGCGTAGGTTGCTGAGACTTTGCAGAGAACTCTGGTAGTTCTCAAACCTGTTAACGAGTAGCCTAGTGGTATTTATTTGTTTTATGCTGGAGTTGAAAAGTGAATCGTAAATGGTGGTCGTTCAGGTAATGTGCCACCGAGACTTGACAGAATCTCGTGTTCACGAACGCTAACACGGTATCGGCTTTTATGTTCGAACTCTGCTGCGGGGATGAAACTTAGTCTAGCTGTGCGCTCGCAGAAAGTAGCCTTCCCCTGGACAACACAATTGTCAAGAGATTCGTTTGCTACCCGTATAACGAGGTGCATTCCAGTGCGATTCACGCCTCGGATGAACGGATCCAAGTCAAAGTGAACAGCGTCAGGCACGTGAGCACATTTTTCTCCATCTTGTGGTGTCACTGACACCAAGTGCTTTGAGAAGGAATCTTGCTGGCGCAAAGTTTTTAGCGCTCGCTGCGACTCTGGTGACTCAAATTCAGTGAGGAACTTGGCTGCAATGGGATCTTCTTCACCGTCACTTTGAGCGCTATCGGAATGGAGATGCAAAGTATGGCATAATTCATGACAAACCAGTAGCTTTGCCTCTTGATCAGTTGCTTCCTCGAGACGACCCACAGCGATGCGTAGATATGATCGCACCGTCTTCATAATCCACGGGATACTGCTGTCTGCGGGTACTTCTAGTTCAGTTCGAAGCACCCGAGCGCATTGCAGACTACAGCAGTCGCTAGCCAGGATCTCTGCTAGGCTCACAAAAACCTTGTGTAGTGCGTCTTCGAACCATTCGTCCATAAGAAAGCTGCAATGGTATTGCGAAAGAGTTAGAAGTGAACTGAAATGGCAATTGTGGAAATCATGGAGAACTTACTACTGCAACCATCCTGGAGAGGATAGCTTGGCGATGACTTCGTAAGCTTCCTGGTAATCAGGCGCGAAATGTCAATAGATCAACAATGAGTACGCTTTGACAAAGCAGAGACTTACCCTTAATAATTCGTGGAGGCGGTGGATAATTGGCATACTATCGATAGGACACCTTTCCAGCCCTGGGAGTACTCGTTGAACGCGCAGAAAGGGCTCCATGAGTTTTATGTAGTAGTCGCTTGCGAGTTTAATTTGTGTGAGTTGTCTCTCCAACGTTTTGTAGCCCGACAACAATAGTGCAAGCTCAAAATTACACGATCTAAGTGTCATTTTGTTGTCCAGCAGCGCTGCCACTGCGTCGGTTGCATTTCTTACAGATCGTGGTAGACCATAGATCCTGTTTAGTGCACGACTGTCGATCTGGAGATCGTCAAGTAGCTGCTGCAGTCTGGAACTTGTCGTTTCCATTTCAGCAGAGTGATAAACTATTGCTGCCAGTTCTTGACCAAACAGCGGCTCGCCATCCAGTGGTGGTAAGAGTAAGGGATTACAGTAGTCTCCGAAACGATCAATACTGCAGCTGGCTACACGTATACAACCCGCATAAGCGGAGGTAGATATCGTAACTTTCGTACCAAACCCGCGATGTAAAACCTTATACATCCCGTCAATGATATTAGTCTTCGTTTTGTCGAACCACCACGTCTGATCATACCGACGCCAGAAGGTTGGCGAAAAGGTTGCCATCTCAACGACGTAAAAATACGGCGTAAACGTTCTCTGCTCGATTGTTCCGGCACGTTCTTCACTTTTAGTGGTTTGGTAAGCATTAACTTCTTCGTGCTGGCTTTCTGGAGTTGGATTCAACTCCAGCACAAGATGCGTGTTTGTTCGTTCAACCAGTGACGGTGTAGGTGGCGATGTATCGAATTCTTCTTTCGCGTCCCGTAAAAATGGTATCAGCACGGTCCAATCTCGCTCCAACAACTTAGAATCAGGGCTTGAAATCTCATCAGAACTTCTGAATCCGACGGAATTCACTCGAGTGTACTTTTGAACCGACGTTTTACACACTCCTGCCCTAATCGGAAGTTTTACGAAGGCTGGGTGGTTTTTATCAACATCACTGTCTGAAGAAGACAGCAAATTCTCCAATGAAATATCCACATTGGAAGCCACAACTTCGGATGAAGGAGGAGGCCACCGGAAGATGACTCGACCCCCTCCGGCGATTTCAACGTTCAATGCGAGGTTTTCCGGAATCGAAAGCTGAAAAGAGTCAACAACCCACTCTCGTTCTGAGTCCACTTCTACTGCTATTTCGCGTAGTCTCGACTCTGCTTCAAGACAGCAATTCGGAAGATCGCGCACCAATGTCAACAATACTTTGATTTCAGACAGTGAGCTGGCAGACAAATTCTTTGGACGCAGGATAAACAACCGTGCACGTTCAACTGCTGACTTGGAATTTCCTCCATCGTTACTCAAATTATTCGGTCGGCTTATAACTGCAAACGTACCAAGCCGATTGATCGCCACACGAGCGAACTCTTCACTGATACAAGCATGATCCACATCTCGGAGTATTCGTCCAGAATTTGCAGCAACTTCCACAACAACGGCAGTGTAGCTTGCATCAGCTACGATACAGTGTGGCAACCAGAATAGTGCAGGACGCAATAGATCTCCCATCGATTTCGGCAGAATTTCAATCAAACAACTGATGAGTTTCTCTCCATTGCGAAGTATTAACTTCGTCTCGTCATCTACGCGACGAGAAATCGCGATCTCAACTCCATGTGTATCCGATACATCGTTGCCATCGCGGTCCAGACAAACAAAGAAATCGGGCTGGAAGACGATTATTGCACCGGTTTGTTCGTGGTTTACACGTCCACCAGCACTCGCTCTCAAACAACGCACCGTGTGGGCGGCAGGTGTCAACAGCGCTCGATCCACAATGAAATTTAGTGCTGGATCGAAAAGCACACGGTCATCAACAACACGCAGCACCATCCGAGTGGAGACTATTTTACCACACCGGTTTGAAACCTCACAGTAGTAAATGCCTTCATTGTGAGGCTGAATGCTGGGAGATATAAAGATGAATGACTGAGTAGCACCGTCGATAGAGACACCGGCATCTTGACCGTCTGGTTGAATGAACCACTGGTATGTTAGCGGTTCACCTTTGGCGACCAAAGCAACTTCTACAAACGAATCGATAACAGGATATAGAGTTTCTGGGAGATCTCGTTGGAGTAATGGAGCACCTGAGTCAAGACACAGTTCTAAGTCGAGAATAATGCACTTGAAAAGCATCAGTAGCTTACCAACATGGCCCCATGTGTCATCGTATTGTATCCAAACATCCCTGATCGTCTTGGCAGCTGTGTAAGCGTGACCTTCACCATATTTCCGACACAGGTTCAGTACTTCACGACATCGTGCGTGTGGGAATTTTGGAACTCCAGCAAAGAAATCTTGAAGTGCGCGATGGCAAAACTGGTAATTGATGTGTTAGTACCACTTGCAATGCGGCATACGTAGTATCCTGACTTACCCGACGAGCGCTTTCAAAGTGTTGACCGTTTAGTAACTCGTCAAGAGCAAGGGTGCAACGAGATGCAGCCGCAACGGCGAGACGAATAACCAATTCTTCAGGGCATCCATTCATGCGAGCATGTGTGACGGGGGATAGTCCATCGGAATCCTTTTCAAGGACATTGTTCAAACTTTTATCCACGATCCATGAAAGTTTCTCCAGTCCCCAGCGTTGCTCTAAAGCGTAGTACAGAGGTGGTCGTCGCTGCATGACACAACGCAGAATGCTTTACTCAATTGATGTAAATGGTTCGTCAATGTGAGTAGCGATGTGTAATACCTGGTGATCCAAGAGCTCTGTTGAGCCTGGATATATTGCGTAGATACTCCCAAGCAACTCGAAAGATTTGTCTAAAGCATCGTCACTATGGTATAAAGCGGTGACAGCGGCATGCAAGGGCAACTCCATCTGCGTAAAATAACAAATCGAACGTTAGTATTTGTTTTTTCTCAACACCCATAGCTTATAAGAGTTTAGAGCACCTCAAAGAACCGCGCCTGCTGCCATTCTCGAGGTGTAGGCGTTTGGAATCGGTGCTTATGCTGCAACGTGACATATCTCCACGCTCGCAAGCATGTAAACAACTTGAGATCTGTCCGGTGGCTTCTGAGTAGTTCCCCCCAACAGCCTTCACATCTGTGCGAGGGGTCCATCTAGGACCGAAATTTTAAGAGTTCATAACGCTTAACCAGATCTAAATCGATATAAACTACTTACAGAAGATCCACCGTTCAGATCATGAGTGAACTGACATGTGAGCAGAACAGAAGAACAGAGGTGTGGATAATACAACTTGACTTCTTTGTGGAACTCCTTAGACTAGCAACGTGTCCTATCGGTGACGCAAGTTTTAACAAGCATCTAGTCCTGCATTAAACACAAAAAGTTTTCCACCCTTTTGCCTGCGTTCAGTTAATTCACTTGATCGATCTCGGCTACTTCCGCCTCATTCGATTCTCCACCCACGGGCCGGTCCGCAAACCGTACGCCCAACTCCATCTCCTCCTCGCCCCTGGAGATGTCGCCGAAGAAGCTGGCAATGTATTTTCCCTCCGGCGCTTCCACGGCCTTGCATAACTCTCCGTGCTTAGTACCTCCAAACCGTTCCGACGTGCGCATATTGGTCACAAACTGGATCGCGTGGATCTCCCGTCGGACCCGGAACAAATGCACCTTGGTGATACACTCGTCCTTCTTAAGCTTAAACGTTTGCATCCCTTCTGTCGCCTTCTGATCTTCAGGCAGATAATAGCCCTCCACCTTAACAACAACACCGTCGGACATTTCGATACCCACGCTGAGCATCTTGAAGTCCGCTGCAAGAGGCTCATGTCCCCATTTCTGCTTAGAGCCCACTTTTCCCGTGGACTTGTACATGACCATCTTGGCATCGTCATCGAAGACAACCGAGCCGTCAGTAGACACGACGTCGTCATCCTCGTCGTCCGAGTCAGTCTCTCCGATGGCGTCCTCATGGAAGAGAATCTCAGGCGTCTTGTCCTCTAGCAGAGCCGTGTGGATACTGTCCCGAGGATGTCCATCCGCGTCCAGCAGCGGCAGCCCGTCGTCATGCTGCTTGTGCTCGTCGTGCTGTTTGTGCTCCTGCGTGCTGGACATGATGATTGTGCTGCTCCCTTGTCAAATGTGGAAATGTGCCCAGCATGAAGCCGCCGTCTTCATCTCGTTGTGCGGATAAGAGCAGGGCATCTGTTTCAACTTCCACCCTGCTCTATCGGCGCTCTCTGGACCCAATTTTTGCGATTTGCTCGTGCACAGACTCAATTTTTGGGTGGTACAAACGTGATTTTTTGCCAACATGATGCCCGAAGTGGAGCAGGAGCCGCACGAGCAGCAATTCTCGGCACTGTACATGGCTAAAGTGCTGGATAAGCTGCGCGAGAGTGATAAGACACCTCAAGCTGCTGCAGCAGAGCTGCAGACTGCACTGGTACGTAAGTTATACTTTTTTTTTAGTACTTCAGTAGTTTTTTTTGTTCTTACAATTATAATTGCTATGGTAGAGAAAATTGCACGCGTCGCAGCAGGAATTCGTGGCTAAGCAGGCCAAACAGAACTTGCTGGACCGACTATCTCAAGTGGAGGCGCTGGAGGCTCTGCAGAAAGTGGCGACGATTAGGAAAGCGCAAGCAGAGGCTGGTTATGATCAGGAGGAGAGGGAGCTACAATCGGCTGTGCGCGAGCGGGAGGACGCGCTTCAGTTGCTTGAAAGACTGGCAGACGAGGTAGAACAACAGAAACTCAAGGTGGTGGAGCACGAACGCTCGAGGGAGGCGCACGAGAGTGAGCTGGCACAGCTGAACGAAGTGTGGAAGGAACTTCAGAAGAGGAATGCTCATCGGAAAGCGGCGGTGCAAGTGGCGACGGGAGTGATGATCACAGATGAGGAAGACTGCGCTCGAGTGCTGGACCAACAGACCCAGAGCATCCAGGAAATGCACCAGAAGCAGAAGGAACTCGAGGTTTGGCAGAGATGGAGTCGGTGGTGTTGTGGTCTGAAGTAACGCTTCGTGGTTGAATTTCGCAGGATGAGAAGATTGATATCAGTACCCAGGTGAAACGAACGAAAAGGACGATCGAGAATTTGTCCAAACAGGTGTGTAAAGGGTACTCTTTTGGATACTCGAATATGGTGGTGCTTAAATCTTCAATTGTGTGTCTTTTACCAGAACGACATGAGAAGTAAGGATGCCGAGGTAAAACAACGAGAGCAGGACTACATGACGCTGCAACAAATGAAGCAATGGTGCGTTTCGGGAGCGACACAAACAGAATATCATTTTTTCAAACTTCTTTTTTGTTGCGTCCAGGTACGATCACGTCAGGAGCATCCTGGAATCCATTTCGGGACTGGAGATCACGAACGTGGCCGACGATTCCCTCGAAGTCCGAGTTTTGAAGTCCCATTCAGTGCGCCTCTTTTGCGATCCTGAAACCACAAGGTTGAAGCGAGTTCAGGTGAGTTGGCTGTTGTGTGGCTGGCTGCATTTCAGCTGTTGATGATATAGGTTTTCACTAACCACATTTTATGACATCAGTCCCTCACACCTGGTGTAATCGCCGCCGACCTTGTGGACGTCGCTGTGAGTGACAACAATATTCGGTATCTGTTGTGCGAATATCGTGAACGTGTACGCGACCAGGTAGCACTGTAACTTTCGTTGTATGGGGCTGGAAAAAATGATTGCACATTTTTAAACATGTATCAAAATATTTTGGTCCGCAAATATGTCGTGTTGGTTATTTGGGAAGCAGTGCATCCACCTGAGCTTCTGGCAGACCAGCGTCCAGCAGTTTCTTACGCGCAAGCGCACGACCAATCGTAAGCTTCAACTTGGCTGTTTCCACCTCGTAACGCAGCTTCTCACACTCGAGTTTGTTGCGCTCCTCCTCCATACAGAACCGCTTGCGTTCTCGCTCTTCACGCACCGCTTCTGCCAGCATGCGTTGCGTGCTCTCCAATGCCGCTGGATTCGCCCATGTTCCTGCCAATCCAGCAGTCGAAGCAACAGGCACAGCAGCGCTTACAGGCGTCGACACCGCAGTACTCACTGCTGGTGCAATGGTAGCAACTGTCGCTGGAGGAAACTGTACGTTATCAGGCAGTACCCTCTGCTCCTCCCCCGCCTCAGTCATCATCTTGGGCTCCACGTCGTGCACTTCTTCCTCTTCTCCGGGCAGTTTGCGCTTCCTCATAGGAGCCCCATAAGTTGCGGTTCTCTGATGATACGGACGTCTCTGTCGAAGTCCTCTGTCCTCATCATGCCCAAACACCTCATTAAGCGTGTGGTAATAGCGACACATGCGCAGTACATGTGCCTCCGCTGGTCCATGGGCTCCATCCACCTCGATGACCTCGTGATCGTCATCCACGTCCGTCCCACGTCGGAACGTGTACGGGTCCAAGTCGTTCTCCTTGAGCCAGTTGCGCGCGGCGTCGAAGCTGCGCTCGAGCTCGCTGATCTGCGTACGGATGTTGGCGTTCTCTCGGTGGTGAATGCCATGCTGCCGCATGGTGCTCTTGATCTCCGAGCATAGCGCCTCACGCGTCTCGCCTGTCTGCGACTTGCCGTCCCGCCAACGAGCGTAGTTGCCTGGGGCAGTCAGCCACTCAAGCAGAATTGCGATAGACGTTTTGCCGCCACGTGTGGCGCTGTCACTGTCCCAGAGCACGCGCTGGCGTCGGGTGGGGCCTCCATTGGACGTGCCGCGCGTCTGCAACAGCGCGCGGGGAGCACCCGGTGTTGAAGCTGGCGACGATGCTGCCGAGCTCATTGGTGATCAGGATCTAGGTTGGCTAGTGACTGGGAAAATGTATTGGAACCTAGAGAAACTTTGAGACGTCGGTATGAAGAACATACAAGTCCGGTCTTTATTCAATAGAAGCGTACCAACTTAAGTAAGCAAACATAATCTAGGCATTTGTATTGATCATGACAAAAAAATCTAGATTTAGCAGAAATGACTTTATTCGGAGGGGGCTTTCTATTCGGGCAAGTAATACTTTAGTGTTTTGGAATTTAAAAAAAATCAGCCCATCATTTCTTACTTCCTCCGGTTGATAATGATGACCGGAAGTTAATATGACAGGTCCAGGTTTTTTTTACAGTGATTATTGCATTGAGTTATACAGTGACTGAAGTGATCTATTAAGCGCCATACAGTAAAGCACTGCACAGGTCTGCCGAGGACAATAGTGCTATTGCAGCTCTCTACTACAGTTTAGATTGACAGGAAGACGCTTTTTCGTCCAGAGTTTGGCTTTCCCTAAATGTGGGAGTTTATACAAATTCCCCCCCCCCCATCTCGTTTTGCAGGATACAAAGTATGCACGCCTGCAGCGCGACGAAGATGTCCTTCCTGGGCCATTTTGCTTTGATTGCAGGAAACACTTTCTCGAGCAAGTAGTCCCTGTACACGTCACAGTCGACAGAGTCGATATTGCGGGTACAAAGCGCTCTTTTGTCTCTGTTTTTACTTCGTCGTTTGGCTTCATAAGTCTCTGTAAAATACCAGATTCCGACCTTGCCCTCCCATTCCTGTTTCCGGTGAGGGTCGTACCTAACCAAAAATAAAAAATGAAGGTTATTATTTTTAAATAAAAAATGAAGGTTATTATTTTTAAATAAAAAAATAGTGAGTTTACCGTGGACGCGCTAATGCAGCCAAAACATGGTTTTAGGGATGAACCGCTTGCTCTTTCACGCCCGGGAAGGAGCTCTTCGCCTTCTAAAACAAGGTACGAATGCTTGTCTCGGTCTGCATAAAACCACTTCTCATCAACATGTACCATGTTATACATGGGTTCGAACTGCAGCGTCCTATCATCGACAAAAGAGAGGGCATGTTCGACGCGCCTTAGCTTGTTGTTTAGCGTCAATGCTGGCTTGACGAACGTCGTCCGGCGTGCAAGGACGTCTTCCTTCACTGCCTGCCGCACCATGTAGCGGGAGAGTCCGGCACTGGCCGCAGCCCGCCTTTCAACAGACCTGTCTTCGATAGGGACAGAAGCCAGCTTCTCGCGCACTTCGTCTCGATTTTTTTTCGCTTTCTTCCGCTGTTCTTCTTAATCCCGCTTATCCATTCACCTCCTTGGACGTCTGTGTCAACTGTGGCAGCGTACCGCTTCCAGATAGCGCTAATAGTGGTCGGGTCGCACCCCATACCAGTTGCAACCTTTGCGTATGCTCCCGAGGCAGTGTGCCGTTGTTATTGATCCGTAGAAGTTCATCGATGGCTGCTTTCCACTCTAGGTCACTAAGGTTTGGCTTGGTCATGCTTTGGTGAGGAGAGTCAAGGTAGTCCGGGCGAAGCGGATGTCACTGCGGCGTAAATCCGGAAATAACGGTTTGTGAAATGACATAGCGGCGGCTGAAGGGCTCCGTTTGCTATGAATCGGGTGGCGTTGGAAAGCGGAGACATTGGGCTTCCTTTTTAACCCATCCGTAGTGTCTAATGCAAGGTAGAAACGAAATCATTGATTAAAATGCTTTTTTCTGTGATCATTATCAACCGGAGGAAATATGTTTTACAGGTATTGTACTGTTAGCAATAGAATTACGCAATTCTGAGGCGCAAAATAGCGTATGCTGTAACAAAAGTATTCCAGACAAATTAAGCTGGATATACTATTGATAGGGCATTCTAGGGTGAGTCGACCACCAATCGCTTTGTTTTGAAAGAAACTTTCCATTGGTCCAAACAGGGCTTGCTTAGCTAGATTATTGGTCAAAATTTGATGAGAAGTCAGGGTGGCAATATAATTACTGCCCGCACTGTATCCGATGCGAACTGTTCTATGGAGAGAAATGCCCACTTCAAGTTTAACAAGTACGGCGATACCTATACTACCACAGTTCAAAGGCAACTCCTCTAAGCTTCTGCGCTGATGCAGCCTCTATCTAGTCCTTTGGCTCCGCACCTTGGAGCTCTAGGACCGCCACACACCTCGTTGGCATCGAATTCAGCGACTTCTGCATGTACATAGCGGTAATTTTGGATAGATGCATTGTCTTGTTGGAAAATGCAGTCTCACCCGTATCTTCTATCTATAAACGGCAGTAAATGCTCTGAAAGGGTGAAGATATAGTGCTCACTGTTCTGAGACCCCTCCAAAATCACTAGCTCGCTCTTCCCACCAGCACAGAAAGCTCCCCACATCATCACACTTCTTCCTCTACTTTGGCGACGAGAGTAAATTTGCGTTTCGAACCTTAAATAGTGCCAGTACAGTAGTCCATCAGGCACATGTAAATTATACTTATTCTCGTCCAAAAACACGATCTCAAATCATTTCACAGCGCCTCAGGCCGCTTGCACACTTAAGGCGATTAGCCTTGTGTTTCTTTGTGAGCACAGGTGAAGTCATACACTTCTCGTATCTAAACTTAGGGTGCTTTTGAAGGTACTCTCGAATTCTACGAGCCCTCAGATCTAGCTGAAGCTGTGTTTTAAGCTTTGGGGCGCTCAACTTGCCCTTTAAAACCTCTCGGAGTAGTCGCCGCTCAGCAGTAGGCGTCAGCGTTTTAGGTCTCCCTGGGCGTTTGATGACGTTGTAGGTGTCTGGACTAGGGATGTACGCGTGCACAAGAGGCCTAGATCGACCTAACGGCTTTGTAATGGCTCGTTCGCTCAAACCACACTCGAGAAGTGCGGAAATCTCGCCTTTTCTCTTCTCTGTCAGCTTCAAGCCCCAAAATTTGGTGGAGGCAGTATAATTACTGCCCGCACTGTTTTGTCTGGTACAATGTGAGGTTCATGAGCCATACTGAGTAAGTGAAACGCCTAGCAAAAATACAATCTAGAACGCGTCAACACTCGGTTAGCTTCTGCCGGAGCTATCAGTGTAACAAGGCCATAATAAATGAGCTTTTCTTTATCATTTAAGCGATATAATCAATAATTGGTGTGTCGAAACGACTGTAGCATAAAATGTGACCGGTTTTTGACTCAGCAACTTCTTGAACAAGATCATCAGCAATGTCAACGATGCCACCGCAGCCATGATACCGAGCGTATAGCGTTTAATGACTCCGCACGTCGACACCACAACGTCCACTCCTATCTCTGCAGTCTTTTCCACAGCAAAGCAAGCCCAGGTGCCGACACCACTGCACCAAATTAGAATTGACGATGGGGCGTTGCATTGAAGGATCGATGAGTCGATCCATACTGATTGACAGCGTATTTGATGTGAGAGGCGATTAGTATCCGCTTGTCGTCGGACCCGTACTACTCTTTCCGAGGGAGGTGCAATAGAGGCAATGATCATTTGCGAGAAGAGCTGCTTTAGCACTGATATCTTTCTCCTTGCGTTAGTGATGCTCGTCGTGCAAAATGAAACACAAGTCCGTTTTTATTTACAGTAGTACCACGAGACAAACTCTACTTATTCTTGAAGATTAAATAAACTACGTCGTGTTCTGAAAAACTTTTGTTCCAAGTTACCACCAACGGTTGCCTCGGATTTGCAGAAATCGATTGTCAAACCATGCTTGATCAAGTTTGTATTAAAATAATATTGTGCCTTCGCCCGAAGACCTATAGTATTTCGTTGGAGCTGAAGGTCAGTCTGTGTATCGGACTTGCAGTAAAACAACAACTGAGGCGTTAAGAGAGATAATCTTTGCAGGACAGGCCCTTCACTGGTTGCAGATAGTGTAGCTAATTCGAATAATCTATTCAGTTCTTCTATGGACTCTTCGACTTAACGGGGTGAGCGGAACATCCAATAGGGCACTGAGTCTAAAAAAACACGGACTGGCCGGTTCACAAGGTGTGATCCACAGTAGTGGACAATATGAAGTTTACGTCTGAGAGGATATCTAAGGACGAAAACGGCATGCACTGGCCAGCCAACAAGTTTGCGGTACATATAGTGTTTCGATACAAAATCTCACTGATATTGTGGAAGCGATAATCGTTAGGTTGATGCTTAGGGATGACAACTTCGTCCTGAAGCTGGTCAAGACTATGCACGTTAGTGAGATTTCAGTACCGTCAGGGACCCTACACAGAGTTGCCAAAAGACGACTGGAGCCTACGTTGAGTGACGCTATCGAGAGTAAAGCGAATAAAGCGGTGAAAGCCTGCACTACCTGTTCACAAAGGAATGAGCTCTGACGTGTGAAGCTGGCAGCGGGCGGGAACACTAATTTACATATTAGTAGGATGCTCAACATTCGAGCCGAGTCGAAAACGTCAAATTAAAATGCCTTTGACCCCGGTATGGCGTGGGAGCTGTTATTGGGCTTGATAGATTAGTCAGCGTTCAAGCGAAAGATACCGTGGGATTATACCCATACAGCTGACCAAGTCGCTCCTGTTCTTGTAAGCCACTCAACAAAGCCGGTGACGACGACGATAGCTGTTACATCTTGAAAGTATATTAGTATTGCAGCAAAAAAAAAAAACGCGTTGGCTACTCCTCCAATGAAAGAGACCGATATATTGCGGCAGCCTATGATATCGAGAGGCGCGATGCTGCGACACACAGCCGGCAGGAGAACCCATCTCCCTGGCGTATGGCACTGAGCGGACGACGTAGAAATTGCTACACGAAGCAAGCTGGAATGACTGACACCAAAGTTGGAATCAGCCGCGACACTATGGATCTTGACAGCCTGTGTTGGCATGTCTCGCTCCGGCAATTACTACTGTA